TATGCATGTGTGCACCTGCTCCCACACAATTCCTTCTCTGTCTTGTCAAATTTATTTATTTATTTATTATTATTATTATCATTATTATTATTATTATTTTAAGAAAAGTAGTAAATATTCTCGAACGAATGACTGTTCTTCATTTTTATTTATTTATTTATTTATCAATTATAATTCTTATCCATCTTATTGAAATGTTTGTTTGAATAGAGATCTTTAGGTAAATTAATTGAAATTTTCATTTGGTTTGTATGTTGAATATATGGGCTCAAGTAGATTATTATTGTTAATAAAATAAAATTAGAGTTTTGGTAAATATATTATTAGACATCTCTCTCAAGGCAAAGTTCGAAGTTGATAATGTATATATGATCAAAATTTGGTTATATTATTGTGCCCGAATATTGTTCACCGGTTTTTTATATTTTAGAGAAAGTAAGAGGCATGAATTATTTTTTGTTATTGTTGTTGTTATTATTATTATTAGGGATATTTTAATATTTGTAATTTTTTAAGCACACAAATGTACATTTTTTTCATGTATATGCTTTTTATTACTAATTTATAAAACTATTTGAAACAGAAAGGTAATTAAGGTAAATTGGATTTTAAAAAATATATATTTAAATTATACCACCTATTGTAAAAAAAAAAAACAAATAATTAAATAAAGCAAACAATACGGGATTGAGGAAGTAGTAAATTATACACTCTATCCGCAAATAATACATACATTATATGAAATGACTTTGAGATTTTATTAATATTTTGGATTTTCCACATCTACTAATTAATATATATATATATATATTATGTACGGCCTAAATAGCAAAATGTCGGATGAAGTACATCTGTCTTTTACTTGAAGACGGTAAATTGTCATGTAATACTCCTTCGTTTCAATACAATAATCTTGTATACTATTTTTGTCCGTCTCAAAATAATAGTCTCATTTTCATAAATACTCGTATCACTATAAAATTATTTCTACTTTTCATTATTATTACACAAATATCATTACTTTTTACATGATTGCACTCGCAAGGGTAATAAAGTCTTTTACTCATATTTTTTTTTACCAACTATCAATATAATATCAATATTTCTTAAATTTCGTGTCCAACACAAATAAAATTATAGTTTTGGGACGGAGGAAGTATATTTTATTTTTTATTTTATAATTATATGTTTTCTTTAATTGATTACAACTATTTCCTTCATTCACCAAATTTAGTCCTTTTTTTAATTAATTTTTTTGTTTTTATTTTGGTATAAATACAAAGAAAGTGGACTAAATTACTAGACAAAATGAGTGCATTATATTAAAATTTTCAACAACTTGTGAATTGTAAAAGGGAAATATAAGGCCTTGTTTGCTTAAGGATATATTTTTTTTCAATTTCTTTAATATGTAATTTTCATTTTTTTTTAATAATAAATAGATTATTACTCTAATAAAATTGTTGTTTGTCATGATTAAATTATTGATCAAATCCCCCTTTTAAGTTTTCTTAAAAATTGTTGTTTCAATTGATGATTAATCACCACAAGCCACCAAGTTTACCATACAATTATGAGCTAGATTTATGTCTCAATGAGGGTTCCATATCCTAAATTTGCAAAAGTTTGTAAATCAATGAAATGCATAAATATTTAATATTATTACTGTAATACTCGATGTATTTGACTTCTCACACATGATGTTTATGCACAAATTAAATTTACAGGTATGTTTCTTTCGATGAGCTTGAAAAAAATTGATTTAAATTTGATATTAAAATAATGTATGATGGGATGTTTTGTGGAAGAAAAAAATATAATTTTTTTTTTCCGAAACAAACCCGTACATTTGAACCTAAATTTAATTTACAATTTTTTATGTAAAATATAAGAAAACTAAATTAACTTTAAAAAAAGTTAAACTCTGTCAGATTTGACTTGAGAAGAACATATTGAATTCCCAACAAATAAAATAAATTAATAAAACAACAACACCTTTAAAGAATTTAATCTATATAAATTCCAATGCATATATTTATAACTTAAAGGAAGTCTTTCTTATTTTACAAATAAATAATAATAATAATAATAATAATAATAATAATAATAATAATAATAATAATAATAATAATAATAATAAATACCAAACCCCATATGTGAGATTGTAAAATACTTTATGTTGAATTTACATAAACACGTTTGAAAATAGCCATAATTTTATTTATGATTTAATATATATTTAGTATAATATTTATAAATTTAAAACAAATATTTGATATTGTGATTTTGAAAGGAAAACATATATCTCACAAGACTAGAGTAAGATAGGATCAAAGAAACAAAATATTTTTTTTTTCTCCCATCTTAATTTTTTTTTAAAAAAAAAAAAAAACACACCCATATATATATATATATGTATATATTACTAACTAATTAATTTATTCTGGCTTTGATTCAGCCTAGGGTTTTGAAACATATATATAAAATTTTAGAGTTTGCTAAAATTAACACATTAAAGTAATATATAAGGATGTCACGTGGACAAATAAAACCTAAGATAGCAGACAAAGTTGTTGAAAGATAAGAAGGGAATATTTGGGAGCATGTAAGGGGGAATTAGAAGATAGTAATTAATTTTATTTAGGGCTTAGGAACATTTGCTAAATTCCAAAAGATATATGCATGCATACACACAATTATAGGGTAATTATAAATTAATTAACTTGCGTAGACTTTAGTTTTAATTTTATTATTATTATTATTATTATTATTATTTTTGTATGAACAATATTTTACATATTATATTCTGCAAAAAATATAATATTTCCTCCATTTACTTAGAAAGAAAATATTTACTTTTTTACAGGGTTTAATAAATATTACTCTATTTTAATGATAATTGATCGTAATTTTGGTATATAAAAATTATCTTATGTCTACAATGTATAAACCTAATGTGAATGTATAATGCAAATATGTGACGGATATTTGTAATATATAGTTGAGATCTATACATACTAAAAAAATATATATTTTGTGTTCCGATAATAAAAATAGATAAAATATATATTTACCAAGTGAACGAGTGTAGTAAATATTATGAGTAATTGGGATTTTTGTACAGTAAAATTACAGAAATCAAATTCCATAAGAGTGCAACTCTAATGGTTATAATGTTGTGTTTTTTTTTTTTTGGGGGGGGGTGGGGGGTGGGGTTTAAAGATGGTTTTTTTTTTTTTTTCTCTAAATTGATTTATATTTTGATTTGAATTGTAGTTTGAATGTACTAATATATTTTAATAGAGATGCAATTCTTATAATTTCTTATATATATATATATAATATATATATGTGTGTGTGTGTCAGATTCTAGTCAAATAAATATTTTTTTTGCCATAAGTTCATGATTTTTTTTGAAAGTTATACTTGCTTCTTGTGAAATTAAATAATTCAAAGATGAAGACTGAATAGATACTATTGCAGAATAAAATATCCAAAGCTTCCAGTTAAGAAATGCTTATCCTATATGTAATTCTTTATTTATTTATTTATTTTATTACTTCTCTCTCATCTTCCATGATTTTGTATGCAAATTGTCAAGAATGGTTGTTAGAAGATGAAAAAACCGTCCAAACGTAAATTAAGAAATAAATTAGTCCCTGTCTTTTCTGTGAAGTCTGGTTCGCATGGTATTAAATTCGACCAGGGGTTTACCAGTGCGCACTTTCGGGTAGCGAGTACGGATTCCCATGTCATAAAAAAAAATAAAAATAATAATAAATAAATTAGTTAGCATGATGATTAGAGCTAATTAATATAATATTGATTAGCCCTACAATCATCGCTTTTCAGATTTTATGGTAAAAACTATTTTTATAATTTTTATAGTAAAATAATAAAATTCAAGGGTGTATTATTTTACGGTTTAATTTAATATTTTTGTTCTAGCTTTTTTATATAAACGAATTATAGTAAAATTAAAAAAAAAAAAAAAAAAAAACCAATTCCAAATATAATAATAGTATTAGTAATAAAGTGAGAAATATTGATGTGACCAAAATCTCATAGTATGATTTAACATTAATAAAAATAAATCAATAAATAAATAAAAGGATTGCTCAATATAATTTAATTTAATTATATTTAATGCACATCCAAAACTGATCAATGAAAAAATCAAACAGCAAAAATGAAATTTATCATATCATATATGATGTGCATTGCTGCAGCATTGCCTCTATCTCTCTCTCTATATATATATATATATTTATATGTATATATATATGATATGTCCTTTCTTTCCCTTCCAGTTAGTTAGAGTGAGAAAAATGAAGAGAGAGAAAGCAAAGCAAGAAATATGGGGGAAAAGGAAGTCCACAAGCCCTACTTTCTACTTCCTCAAAAATTTTAACCCGTCGTCTCCGGGAGAGGGAAATATTATATATAATTCTCCACACTCAAACATATATATATATATATAAATCTCTCTTTTTTACTCAACAACAAAATTAAATTAAATATATATATTAATTCTTGGTTTGTTTGCTAGCTTCCTTGTCTCGTCTTGACTAGTGAAGGCCAAGCCTTGTTCTTGTGTCGTTTTCCAAGATATACTATACTATACTCTCTCTCTCTCTCTCCTCTCTCTCTCTCTCTCTCTCTCTCTCTATAATTCACCAAATCCTTAGCTAGTTTGCTTCCTCTTTCCATCTGCAGGAAATTTCTTTCAATCTCTCTTCCTTTGCTGCTTCTCATTTTCTGCTCACCAAATATGCTGCTGCTTTAATGGCTTCTTTCTCAACAATTGGGATAATCTCATGATGATGATGATAAATTAGAAGAGCCATTTCCACTCTCTTTTTGTAATTTCTTTATGGGGTTTGCTCAATCATAGCTTCTTCTCTGCAACAAATCTGGAAAAAAAAAATATCCTCAAAACAAAATAGTAGAAATTTTTTCTAATTTTGAGGTTTAAGTTTACTAGTTCAGATCCTTTTTTTTTTTTTTTTTGGTGTATGTGTTGGGGAAGAAAGAGCTCAGCTTTTTGATTGCTTTGCTTCAGTTCTTATCTTTCTTACACACACACATATAAATACATATACATACATACAAGTGTATGTATATATATGTGTGTGTATCATCATTCACCTTTAGCCTTTCTAGAATACCTAAGAGCTAAGCATTTGTTTTTGCAAAAATCTTCTCCTGTTTTTGGAGCTTTTTTCTGCCTCTTTGTTAATAAAATCCCATCTTTTTCTGTCACTCGTTCTTTCAGAAAAATCCATTAATCCACTTGCAGATTGTCTTTTTTTTTTTTTTTTTTTCAAAAAAAAAAAAAAATGTCCGTAGATAGGATTTTTCTGGAGCCATCCTCGAAGCAAATCCCTGATCTTGCACTCCACATTAGCCCTCCAATTTGCAGCAGCCATTCGTCGTCGTCATCGTCTTCTCCGACAACCATGGCTGCTGAAATGATCAACAATCTTAAATCCAGCAGAATCTGCAGCTACAATAATCATAATAATAATTCGATTACGGACAATAATCCATTGATCGAACTCTCCTTGTCCCGAAACGACGAAATCAATCGAAGACAAAGCCTTCAGGAAGATCATCAGCAGCCACAAAACCCTTACCGAAGCTTCCACCAATCGAACACGCAGCTCAGTCAGGTGAATCATGGGGTTTCTGTGCTGGATGTATCCGACGGCGGATATACGCCCATCAAGGGCATCCCGGTGTATCCCAACCGTCCGTTCCCCTTCCTCCCTGATCATAAAGATCCGATTAAGATGTGCTTCTACCAAACGACGCCGTTTCCTCCTCCTCCTTCTTCTTCTTCTTCTTCCTCCTCTTCATCTTCTTATTTTGCCTTGGATCGGCAGATTCCCTATTTTTCCGATGCGTCGTCGTCTTCTCCGGCGGGGGGTTACAGAATCGGCGGCGGCGTCAGATACAATGGGCTGCCGTCGTCGACCTACCCGTCGTCGCACTATCATCATTACCAGAATCATCATCATCATCATCATCATCAGTACGGTGGCGTGGGTACGCATTCTTACGAGGTATCTCAGAATGGGATTGTGAGATCGAGATTTGTTCCGAAGCTTCCGGCGAAACGCGGCGTTAGGGCGCCGAGAATGAGATGGACGAGTACACTTCACGCGCGCTTTGTTCATGCAGTTGAGCTTCTTGGCGGCCATGAAAGTAATAATTTGTTCCATCCATCGTTTGATCAATACCCTATTTTTATTTTTATTATATATATATATATTCTTTGCTTTTTAATTTTCAATTTGTGTGTATTTCGACTTTTCTTTCTGTTTTTCTTCTCTTCTTCTTACAATCTTTGACTTAATTAAAGAATCAATTTTTTTTGGTTATGATTTCAGGGGCGACTCCGAAATCAGTACTGGAGCTAATGGATGTAAAGGATCTCACTCTTGCTCATGTTAAGAGCCATTTGCAGGTGCACAAATTTAATTATATTATTAATTCGAATATTACAGTCATTTCTAGAGTGAGAGAGAGAGGAGGGAGAGAGAAGTCTCCGTCTGTTGCTCCGGCACAGTAGCCGATGAGTGAGAGAGTGGGGGTTTCATTAAAGAATGGGGAATTGAATTGAATTGAATTCAAGAACAAGTCTTGGAAGAGAGAGAGAGTTGTAGCAGTAGAGAGAGAGAAAAAAAAAAAAAAAAAGCCATCATTTTTCAATAATACAGCTCATTACTACCTTATCAAACATACATCAACCTCGTGATTAATGATTTGATGAAGATGCTGCTTCTGCTTCTGCTTCTTCTGCAGAAACCAATACCTGATTCAGAAGAAACTCTCTCTTACTGTACTTTCTCTATTAGGAGAGAGAAAGAAACAATAAAAAAATGTACAAGAAATCAAGAGATTAATAAATAGAGATTGTTAGATGCATTATTACTTTACAAGTTAATTGAATTAAATTCAATTGAATGCAAGTCCATGGGATTGAATTTTTAAATTTCTATCTTATTTTATTTTTTCAATTTGATAAATATTATATATATTTATTTGTATATTAATATGATTTGCAGATGTATAGAACAGTTAAAACCACTGACAAACCAGCAGCTGCTTCCTCAGGTAATAAACCATTAATCAACATTAATTTAATGATCTCTGAACACACATATATATTAGCTATTACTGCACTATTAGAATTAATTTAATTTTAAGTGATTTTAATTAATTATTATAATTTAAAGGGCATTCAGATGGCTCCGGCGAAGATGATCTCTCCACAATCGGCAGCTCCGGCGACCGTCCCGGACTCCGGCTTTTCACCGATCAACGAGGACCGACGGATGGATCTAATCTACCGGCTCAGAATAATGCAGATTACACTAACCCCACTGGCTGCACACTATGGAGCAACTCTTCAAGGTACAAATATAATGCTACCTATTTAATTATATGCATATATGTTTTATTTATTTATTTTGTATATGCGTATTTACTTCATCATTCTTGATGAAATAAAATTATAATGTTCTTCCTTGTAGCAGCTTTTGCTTTTCTTTGCTTTGCTTTTTTTTCGCTTAGCTTTTATTTATAATTTGAAAATCTCTGAAATCTTTGAAAATTTTCACCTGGCCTACTGAGATTATCATTTATTCAAGCAAAAAAAAAAAAAAAAGTCAAATGGGTATATACAAGAATTAAGCTGTTTCACATTTCTTGAATTAGTTCAGTAAGTTAGAGGGAGAGAGAGAGAGTTGCAGTGCATGTAGAACCAAAAGAGGACCAGTAGTATATATGTTGACTTGAGGCTTCTACTTTTCTTGAAGTACTGCTGTTTGTAGCTATTCTTGGAATTTGTATTTTTCTTAAATAAATTAGGTCAATTTTATTATTTTTCTTTTCATATAACATTTTTATTATATTATTTCTTAATTAGTTCTACATTATATGAATCAAATCATATGTATAATGATTTTTTTTATCACATTTATGTTTCCAACTCTCTCTCTCTCTCTTTTTATATATATATATATATATATTGGGATGAAATTGAAGCTTTAAAAACTCCAGCTTGTGATAAAATTTATTTATTTTTTATTTTGATTTGTTTTGGGTTTGTGTAAAATGATTTTGAACATCACTTCTGTGCATTTCTTCTGCAAGGTGTCTACTTTTCACTTGCCCATTTCTTTTTTCAGACACAGTTTCCTCATTTAGGGTTTTGAGTTTTCATTTCTGAATTGGGGCAAAAAGTTTTACCCTTACCAAAAGGTGTTACTTTTCTTTTCCATATTTCATTCTCAATCAACAAAACATCATGCAATATTGATTGGAGTTGACATTTGTTTGCTTAAATTGAATATATTTGCAATTCAAGTTTATATATATATATATATATATCATATGTTTGAATTTTGGAAATAAATAAATAAATAAATAATCCAGCAATGGAGTTTGGTCAAATCCTTCACCATTATTTTTATAATTCTATGTATTTTGATCAAATACTTCTTCACCATCCTTATAGTTTCGACGTAGAAAGATTACACGTTATAAATAAGTAAAATGGTATGAATGATACTAATTTTTTTGTATGAATTTATCTAAGTATCTAACATTTTTTGTTGACTATATTATATATATCTAACATTGTTTCTAATTAATATTTGTGTGTGGATACTAGTGACTATTTGTGTAGAAAATTTCTCATAATGGAAGCATAAATATATAATTCACATTCACCTTGGACAATAGTTTAGTAACTGTTCATCATCTAATATTAGGTTGGAGTTCAATTTATCGAATGTTTTAGATTGTTACTTTTCGAATATTATGAACATGAGAGCATGAAACCCTAATTAAATACTGAATTAGATGAGTGAAAATTTTACATTCGAATTATAGTTTTGTATCAACAGTTTCTCGAATTTTAGACTTTACGATTTGTTCTTTAATCAATTAAAAAATTGGCCTTTGCCTTCTTACAAAAAAATTTGCAATGTGTGCATATATCAAATGATTCTTGACTTAGGATAGTTGATTCAAGATGCATGAGAAAATAAGATTATATTTTTTTTGGTCGATTCTTCGTTCTGAAAAGACTTGTCTTCTTAATGTCTTTAAATGTCGAGCAGCCGAGAGGGATGGCTACAATCAAATAAATCTGGTGATGATTCTAACGGCGATGGCTTCATCAGATCATCATCGTCATTTCCTTTGCAATCAACTTTAAGTCGTGTGATCGAGGTAATAAATTGCCGCGCTCTCACCCAATTTTGTTTTAAAATTTTTTAGTTTCGTTCGAGAGTTTATTATAAACTGATAAATCAAATAATTTCTAGGAAAGACTGGTTGTGAGTCTAGAATAAGATATAAGTGTAGATGTAATATTTTGAATGTCAAATTATATTTTAGTAAATATAAAAAAATATATATTACTGTACTTTGATGTTTTTTAGAAAAAAAGTTACTAAAGAATTGGATATGGATTTGAAAATCTCAAAGAAACACAGTAGTTTATTTGCTTGATTGTTTGAGCTAAAATGTGAAAATGAAAGGGAACAAAATAAACTTCTAAATGCATTTTGAGAATGGGAATACTTTTTGTGTGAAACTAAAACAATTTTTTTTTTTATGGTTCCATAGAATTGAATATGAATATTGAGCTTTAAAAAATAGAATCTATATATTGCAAACGTCTGATGAAATTTCAGATTCTTTTTTTTTTTTTGTTTTTTTTCGACAAAACTATGTGTATGAAAGTGTAGAGAGAGAAAGAGGTGTTAAAATTTTAATTTTTAAACGTATGTAATATATAATTTGTGGGATTGCAGGAGAGCTTAATTAATTGTTCAGATGAGGCGAAGAGGTGTGCAGAAAATTGCAAAAGGCCGAGTCTGGAATTCACTTTGGGGCTCAACTCAACTAATAATTGGGAGGATAATGTTGAAGACGATGACGAAGAAGAAGACGACAAATGAACCTAAGCTCCATTAATTAATCAATTCATCAGGTCATATCATCTCGATCGAAATCTCTCTCTCTCTTTCTCTCTCTCTCTAAAACCATATTCTCTCTCTATATAACATAGAGAGAGAGAGAGAGAGAGAGAGAGGGAGAGGGAGAGGGAGAGGGAGAGGGAAGGAGAGAGAGATTTCTTTGTGATCAGGTGAATGATGAAGCAAAAGTTGAATGTGTTATTTCTTTGATAGAGCTCAGCTTCTTTTTATTTTATTTTATTTTTATTTTTTGGTCTTTTTTGAATTTTGTATTCATTAAAATTACTATTGTCACATCATATATGTTATATGGTACTTTTGGAAAGTTGGTGTATTGGTGTTTCGAAAAAACAGGCTTTTGTCTTTCAACTAAAGATATGAGAAAACACCAAACAGAATATTGTTTTTTTATATATACATATATATATTTCAATTATAGTATTCTTCAACTATACTCCTTACATATTTTTTAAAGTTTCATCTTAGAATATTGTTTTTTTTTTTAAAATAAAAATAAAAAATAAAAATTGATTTCTCTACTGAGAGATGATTTTTTCATCTTGTTCGAAAAATTATATTCCACAATTATGGTAATACATGCATTTATATTCTTTGTAGCTATAGTAGTATTGGTATCGATTTTATTCCACACAATTCTTGTATATATATGTGTGTATGCCATGCCCTATAAGTATTGTGAAATTTTATTTGTCTCATATCTCCAAGAGTCATGAAAAGTAGTAATATACTCCCTTGGGTTCAAATATTTTGTTATTATTTTTAATTTAAAATGTTACAAAATAAAATTAATATGTTTCTCTTCATTGATAATTTAAAAAAATAGTATAGGATTTGTTTGATTCTAATTTAAAATTGATTTAAAATAGAAAGTTTTGATTTTGAATTTTTATATAAATAATATTGTGATATAATATTTTATAAATAATAATATATCTATATTAGAAGTTATGCATGATAAATAATAGTATTTATTTATGTTTGAAATCACAAAAACAACAAACTAATAATATATACATATATATATATATATTCATACTATATGTTGTATCAACTTACCAAAGCCAACAAAAACAACTATTCGAAAAAATATTTTTGTTGGGCCTTATTCACATTTTCATATACATATTAAATCATGCTTCACTCTTTTATTTTCTAGCCTTCTTACATCTTTTATTGGGCCTTTTAATGATACGCTCTTTTGTGATGGGCTTTTGGCTCAAGTCATATATACACAATATTGAATTTATATGATTTTTCTAAAATACTCCATTGCTAGTTTTATGTTTACACGATTTTTCTAGGTGATATTGTTGGTTTTTTTATTATTTTTTTTCTTTCTTTTTCCTTTTTGTTTTTAGGGGAAGAATAAGCCCAAAATATGTAGAAAATCAATATTAGGATTAGAATCGTCACAATTGGAGAACAAACTCAATCAAAAATTTCAAACATTTTGAATTTTGAAAAATAATAATAATAAATTGGAGAACGTGGTAATATAATCGAACATAGAATAGGAATGGAGAGGAAGAAAGAAGTATGTATATATGATGCAAAGTTGAAACCGATATTTAACGACAAGTTGGAGCTGCTGCTGTGTCTGTCTCTCTCTCTGTCTGTGGGACACTGCAGACAGCAAATGCCAACTTCACATTGTTTGTCCCATGTTTCCAATCCTCATATATCTTTCTTTTTTTTAAAAAAAATATATATATACATAATCATATTTCATTTACGTCTCCAACTTACTTTACAAATTGTTTGCGCTTAATTCAAGAATGTACAAACTACAAAATTTCATGTAGTTAAAAAAAAAAAAAAAAACAAATATGCTCATATAAATTTAATTAGCCCATTATTTTTTCAATAAAATATGGAAAAAAGAGTGAGTCACATGCAAAAGAATCATGGTGGCCTTTAGGCCCATGTTCCAATGAATCACATTCATCGTCATCATCATCATCATCTTCATTTCTCCCCATCTCCCATGTGCTTCTTCTTCTTCGTCCTCTTCTTCTCTTCCACTAATCACTAATCGCCATTATCCCCACCCCAAAAAAATGAACCCCAAATTACTCCCAATCTCCATCTTCATCTTCCTCCTCCTCCCGTCGGCGACGCTCTCCGACGACTCCGCCGCCATGCTCGCCCTCCGCGCCGCCCTAAACCCCCCCGCCGACCTCTCCTGGTCCGACCCGGACCCATGCTCCTGGCGCCTCGTCACCTGCTCCGACGACAACCGGGTCACCCGGATCCAAATCGGTCACCGCAACCTCAGCGGTACCCTACCCGAATCCCTCTCCCTCCTCACCTCCCTCCAACATCTGGAGCTCCAATCCAACCGCATTTCGGGGCCCCTACCCGCCCTCAGAAACCTCTCCTCCTTACAAGTCCTCGTCCTCAGCAACAACCTCTTTTCTTACATCCCCGACGATTTCTTCATCGGAATGACTTCCCTCCAGTCCCTCGAAATCGACAACAACCCTTTCGCCGCCTGGAAGATTCCCGACAGCCTCCGCAGCGCCTCCACCCTCCAGAACTTCTCCGCCAATTCCGCCAACATTTCCGGCGAGGTTCCGGCGTTCCTCGGCCCCGACGACTTCCCTAGCTTAACTGTTTTACATTTGGCTCTTAACAGATTGGAAGGCGAGCTGCCATTGGAGCTCTCAGGCTCTCAGATCGAATCACTTTGGCTTAACGGTCAGAACCTTAATGGGAGCATTAACGTTGTCCAGAACATGACATTCTTGAAGGATGTCTGGTTGCATTCCAATTCCTTCTCCGGACCACTCCCCGACTTCTCGAACCTTCGGAGCTTGGAGGTTTTGAGCCTCCGCGACAATGGCTTCACCGGGCCTGTCCCGGCGTCCTTGATCGATCTTCCATCGCTGAAAGTTGTGAACTTGACTAACAATTTGTTGCAGGGGCCAATGCCGATGTTTGGGGATAATGTTGTCGTCGATATGTCCAAGGATTCGAATCGATTTTGCTTGCCTACGCCCGGACATTGCGATCCGAGGGTCGATGCTTTGATTGCGATCGTCGGAGCGATGGATTATCCGAAGAAGTTCGCGGATAATTGGAAGGGGAATGATCCTTGCAACGATTGGTTCGGACTAAGTTGTAATGATGGGAATGTGACGATTGTTAACTTCGAAAACATGGCGCTTTCCGGCGCGATTTCCCCGAGTTTCGCGTCACTTAATTCGTTGCGAAGATTGGTTCTTGCAAACAACAATCTCTCCGGGACTATCCCGGAGGAACTTACTACATTGCCAGCACTAGCGGAGTTTGATGTGTCGAATAATCGTCTTGTAGGGAAAGTTCCGAGTTTTGGGAGTAATGTCATTGTTAAGACAGATGGGAATTTAGGTATTGGTAAAGACATTGGCGGTTTGAACTCTACGAATGGTTCTTCAACAAGTGGTTCTGGTTTTGGTTCTGGTTTGAAATCGGGACGGGATGGTGAGAATTCGCGGAATTGGATTGGAGTTGTTGTGCTTTCGGTTGTTGGAGTTGTCGTCGTGGTTTGTATAGCCGGAGTCGTCGGTTTTTGTTTGTACCGGAGTAAGCGAAAGCAATTTGGTCGCGTACAAAGCCCGAACGCGATGGTAATTCATCCGCACCATTCGGGATCGGATAATGAAAGCGTCAAGATAACCGTCGCGGGGTCGAGCATTAGCGTCGGTGCTATGAGCGAAACACACACGATCCCGACAAACGAGTCGAACGACGTTCAAATGGTCGAGGCCGGGAACATGGTGATCTCCATACAAGTGCTGAAAAATGTGACGAACAACTTTAGCGAAGAGAACATACTCGGGCAAGGAGGGTTCGGGACGGTGTACAAGGGCGAGCTACACGACGGGACGAAGATTGCCGTGAAGAGAATGGAGTGCGGAGCGATCGCCGGGAAAGGCTCGACCGAGTTCAAGTCGGAGATTGCGGTATTGACGAAGGTCCGCCACCGCCATCTCGTTGCGCTTCTCGGGTATTGTCTCGACGGGAACGAGAAGCTTCTTGTGTACGAGTACATGCCGCAGGGTACCCTTAGCCGTCACTTGTTCGAATGGTCGAGCCAAGGGTTGAAACCGTTGGAATGGATGAGGAGATTGACGATAGCGTTGGACGTCGCTCGCGGCGTCGAATACCTCCATGGATTAGCTCACCAAAGCTTCATACACCGCGACCTTAAGCCGTCGAATATTCTCCTCAGCGACGATATGCGCGCAAAGGTCGCCGATTTTGGCCTTGTTCGTCTCGCCCCCGACGGGAAGGCCTCCATCGAGACACGAATTGCCGGGACATTCGGTTATCTTGCGCCCGAATACGCCGGTAATTGATGCATTTAAGTTTAAATTTTTAGATCAGATGGTCATTTAACTTTATTCATCGTTGAAATACTTAACGTTTGTGTTGCGATTGCGATAGTGACGGGGAGAGTGACGACTAAAGTCGATGTTTTTAGCTTCGGTGTCATCCTAATGGAGCTCGTAACCGGGAGGAAGGCGCTCGACGAGAGCCAGCCGGAGGAGAGCATGCACCTCGTAACGTGGTTTCGAAGAATGTACCTCAACAAGGACAAGAAGGACGACGTATTCCATAAGGCCATCGACCCGGCGATCGTCGATCTCACGAACGACACGCTTACGAGCGTCGGGACCGTCGCGGAGCTCGCTTGCCATTGCTGCGCCCGGGAGCCGTATCAGCGGCCCGACATGGGGCATGCCGTGAACGTGCTGTCTTCGCTCGTCGAGCTCTGGAAACCGTCCGATCAAAGCTCTGACGACATTTACGGGATCGACCTCGAGATGTCGCTTCCGCAGGCGCTCAAGAAATGGCAGGCGTTCGAAGGGCGGACGCAGGCGACAGATGCGTCGTCGTCGTCGTATCTTCCGAGCTTGGATAACACGCAGACGAGCATTCCGACGAGACCTTACGGGTTCGCCGAGTCGTTCACCTCGGCAGACGGCCGGTGATTTACGATCGTATCGCGACGGCGAGGGGAGGGGAGGATTGTGTTGTGTTTGTTAATTCATTGTCTTCCTCACGACAACCTTAGCAATGGCGTGGCTGTCTCTATTTGTTGTGCTAATCGAAATTTAGTTTGGTTTGCTGATTTTAAGATTAGTTTGAGTGTTTTCGTTGTTCTCTATTTCTTTTCTGCATAGCACTTTCTACCATTTCTATACATGTTGCTTGTTCATTCTTTAATTGCTTTGTGTAATAATCTTTAAAAATTAGTTTTGATTGTGTAAATCAGTAGCTGCGTTATTTCGATAATATACAAATTTATTCATATCTCACATAAAAGTAAAATAAAACTCGATCAAAAATAACTAACAAACACACCTATATTTATGTATCATTTTATCATAGTACACAATAACACGATAGATATGTTTACAATTAATTAAATCAAAATTATAGTTAGATCAAATTTACTTAGACCAATGTTTCTGTCTGAAAGTTGACTTTGACCAACATAAATAATACTCAGTCAACACCTAATAACAATAATAATAATAATTAAACAATATATATACTGTATAATTAAATTCTTCTTCACCTAAGCTAAGCTACTTCCTAAATGTTTTCTTGGGTAGATTTTACAAGGTTTTTATTATTTTAAAAAATCTTTCTAAATACTATATTTAATAATTTATTTATTTTTATACTATACTAAATTTTATTTTACGTAAAAAGAAAAATATCATATCAACAAATTTATATACTATATCCCATCAAACAATCGTTTTTAAATAAATTAATATAGCTAAATCACACTTCTACTGAACTGAATCTTCACACAGCCCCAATCCAACGGCTCCGATTTCGTCTTCAAGATCGGGAATTTGATGCCAGCCGTCGGATGCGATACGCGTGGCTGCAGTTAAACCCAACGGCCACTTGAAGGAAACCCTGAATTTGAATATTAACTGCAAAACCCTCCTTCACGTTCCAACCATAAACCCTTCGAAAATCTTCACCTTCTTCACAAATTACCTGTAATTTCTACAAATCAAGAAATGGAATCGCAGAGAAACCGAACGCCGCAGAAATTCTTCGGCTTCCATAGCTTCGCCGAGCCAGGATTTCCCGCCTCCTTCGCCGGGGCTTTTCGCGACAACATTCGCCATTTTCTAGCACGGTGCGCCGAGCCGGAGCATTACGATCTCGGGGGAATGCCGATTTGGTGCACTTTTTTGGTTTACGAAAGTAGAGGAACAGTGCTGCCCCTCTACACCATTGAAGAAGACGTTAAGCAATCTGATCGGCCATTCTGCGATTACTGCCGCTGCGCTGGTTAGTGAGAAATTGAAGGATGTTTTGATTGTGTTCTTAGGTTAATTTCACATGATCATTGCAGTTGGACGTTAAATCGAGCTCGATTGTGGTTCGTAATTTTTCCCTAGAATTTGGGGAATTTTGACCTAGAATATGTGCTTCGTAATGCAGGTTGGAGCCATCATTTAGTAACGAAGAGAAAGTATCACATGATCATTCCTGCAAATGATGAGTGGCAAAAAAGTCTTGATGAAGGTGCATTCGATCTGCAAACGCATCTTCTTCATGGTTTGATTCACTGCAATGGTTTTGGACATCTGATCTGCATCAATGGCATCGATGGAGGCTCGAAGTTCATCACCGGTAGAGAAATTATGGATCTATGGGATCGAATTTGCACTGCTCTCCACGCTCGGTAAATCAAATATTTATTACTCTCATTCATTTCTTCGAGAAATCATACTGTGATTCTAATGGTTTGCTTGCTGAATTATTCAAGAACATTCATCGTAGCGTGAATCTTGACACATTTTATGCATAATTCTTTCGATTTTTATCACTGGAAACTTTATGTTATATGAGGATCGAATTAGATAATTATGGATGTTTAGAGATTTCTTCGACAAATTTTGCAAGGAACAGTGTTATGAACCATGCTGTTGGAATACTTTGCTGCTCCGATACATATTGATTATTTTGAATCCGGACAGATTTGTTTGTTTCATTGGAGGGGGTAAAAAACTTCGAATTTAAGATGTTTCGAATTTCTGTTTAGGCAAATTTCCGTGGAAGATCTATCACAAAAGCATGAGATGGATCTCCGGGTGTTGTACGGGGTTGCATACGGGCAATCGTGGTTCGGGCAATGGGGATATCGATTCTGCCGTGGTAGCTTCGGTGTTAAGGAGCACCATTACCAAAAAGCGATCGAGTGCCTCAGCTCAATAGAGCTCGATCAAGTGGTCGACGATTTCAGCCTCGCCATTGGATGCACTTCGATCAAGCAGATAATCCACCACTACAGAGACATGAGCGATGCCGATCTCGTCACCATCCGAGATCTTTTCCGATTCATGCTCTCCCTCAAGTCCACGGCTCCATCCGCAACATTCCCATCGTGGTCCGGGAAAAAGCTCACTTTTCCGATCAAGAGAGGTTCTCTGAAATGCTCATCCGGTTTTCCTCTGAAGAGCCTCCCGAGTATAAACGAAAAGCCTGCCAAGTGTCGAAAGTTCTCAGCGCTCGCTGCAAATCTGGACAGCAGATGGCCTGTCCGGAGGCTGGAGCATGTCGCAGAAGTCATCGTCGAAGCCTTGAGAGAAAAGAGAACGTCGATGAGGGGAAGCAGCTGTGGGATGACTAGGCAGGAAGCGCGCGACGCAGCCCGGGTGTACATCGGTGACACGGGGCTGATCGATCACGTCTTGAAAGTGATGAACAATGTCATCGTCGGAAGCTATATTGTTCGACGCGCCGTGAACCGGTGCACGAAAGTGCTCGAATACACGATCCAAGATTTAAAAGGCGCGACGACGAAAGAGGAGTTTCTTCCGCTGCCTAAAGCTCCCGATTCAGCATTGCCGCTTATTCGCCACTCCGAATTCAATGTCGTCAGCGACGTCGCGTACTTGTACAGAAAACTGCTACACGGCCATTCGATCTCCGACTCCGTGAAGTTTGCCGTGCAAGTGATTCTGTACAGCAAGAACTTCGTAAAGCAGTGGCCCTTCCGAGACGACGCCGACGATTCGTTGAGATTCATCTGCAGGATGATGATGAGTTCGATGGACACGATTTCCGGCATCGGGTTCGACATTCTACCGCGAGAGTACGTCGCAGTCCCGCTCTACGCAACTGTCGGGGACCTGAAGCTCTCGGTGCAGAAAGCGATGCAGGACACGTACTGCATGATGGAGAAAATGTTCGTCACCGAGATTTTAGAGATGGAAGAAACCCGCGACGAGGAGGTCGTATTCGGCGCCGTGGAGTCAGGCCGGGAGCTTTCGATGAGGTGCTGTGGATTGGATATGGAGGAAAGCTTGAGGTATCAGGGAGGGACAGAGACATGGACTGTAAGGTGTAAGTGCGGGACGAGCGACGACGACGGGGAGCGTATGGTGGCGTGCGACGTCTGCGAGACGTGGCAGCACACGCGGTGCAGCGGGATTGAAGACTCGGAAGGGGTCCCGAGATTGTTCGTCTGCGACGACTGCTGCAACTCGCTTGCGCCGGCGAGTCGGAAGTGCAACTACGAGGTTTGGGACACGCCGTCGTTGTCGTCGTCGTCGAAAAAGCTGAAACTGCTGTATAGTGACTGAATGTACGTTAGGTAAGATTGTTTTTGTACATAGTTACAGAATTTTGTCGAATTTTTTCGACAAGAAAAGTGTTGTTTGTTTGAAGGATTGTTTGAACAATGAAGAGATTCTTCATTGATGATTGAATGGATTTTGCTCCTGTGTTTTCTTGTACAGTTCTTACTATGTTATTGTTGTTAATTATTGGGAGTTTTTAAAATGTTGTAATATGGCTAATTTTATTGTTACTATATATTATTGAAAAGAATGTAGATGAATATTTCTAAATTCTAAATCGTATTGTACAGTGTTACAAGAATTTAGTATCTTTCCATATATTAATACAAAGAATCAAAGCAATAATCGAAGTCATGTCTATGCACATTATTCATGAGTTTCAAGAGCTGAGTGACGTTTGCCTTCGTTCCTTCGCCAACGTCCATTTGCAGAACTACTAGAAGCTTCTGGAAGGCTCCAAACTTCATTGCTTCTAACATCACATTCTTGTTCTCTCCGAAGCACAGCTTCCGCAGTGTCGAAACCGCGGCTTCGGTCGCTGCGGTCGATACGGTAAGAACTTTCTTGACGAGCAACGGGATCGTTAGCGCATTGTCGCACGCGCTTTCCCTGTCGTCTTTGTGGCAGCACATGCTGTCGATGACAGCTAAGCCCTTCTCGCAGAGGCTTTTATCGCAGTCGACAAGAAGTTCGAGGATTAGAGGAATTAGTCCCATTTGGACAAACCTCGCCGCACTTTGTTCGGGAGATGATGAAATGATGATGCGATGGATGATTGCGAGGGTTGCCGTCGTGGCATTTGGGCTAATCGGGGATTTGATGACGTGGAACAATATATCTTCGATGTCCTCGTTGATTCTCATTAGGACTTCAAGAGAATCTTGATCCACTGAGACAACCTCGTTCAATACGAGGACCGTGTCTTGTTTTAAGGAAAGGTCGTTCTCACGCTTTAGTATTTGAGTCATCGTGCGAAGGGAGAGGTCGGAGTTTAACTTGGAAATGACTCTTTTGTCTAACGGCAAAACCCATGTCAACGCTGACAAGATTTCTTTGAGATGAACATCGTTTGAAGTGTTGTAATAATGTGCGAAGGATTCGAACATATTTACGAGGGCGTAGCCGATTCCATTCTTCGCCAAGCAACGCTTGTTGCTCGCATCTTCTTTGGCCAAATCCTCGATTTTTTCTAACAATTCTCGACATTTTGATCTATCTCCATTCCTCATAGCTACCTCGATTCTCGAGCAAATAGCGGCGACCTTGTTAGGGGTGGCGGGAATCCGAGGAGTCGGGATCCTCTCGACTCCACAAGACTTGTTTGCGACACACCAATCTTGGATCATTTTTCTTACCGTGTGATTCGGGATTTGGTTGAAAGTTAACAAGACCTGGTGGGTGACGGGGCACGTAGAGTTTCCCATCTCGATCCATTTTTCAATATTTTCACGATCGTACGTGATTCCTGTCGATAAAGTGACAGGATCTTTCATCAAATCTAGAGATATCGGACATCTAAAGTGAGTCGGGATCGCAAGCTCCATGTCTTGAGCGATCCCGGCTCCTTTTGAAGCTTCGAACTTTTTCGACCTCCGGAATATAGACATTGCGAGAAAATGTTTGAAGTAAGGGAAAATGCGTAGGGGACAAAAACATTGATGGGTCCTTTTATTACAATGTAAGATTTTTGTATGGTAATATGATGATTGGGATTAATAATATTGAATTTTGGTCTTTGGAGGGTCAAAAACACACAATTGGTATGATTAGGGGAAAAGGAAGGAATTGTTGAATTGAATATTTGACCGGGGGAATTTTGAATTTGTGTTGACTGCTGGCCTTCGGCTCCGGATAGATCTGCGCCGTTGATTGTGTGGGATTCTCTGTGCTATGAACGGTGTAGATGGATTATGTGATCAGGTAAGCAGAAATAAGGCTGGCCGAGGTTTGACTTGTTGACCGAGTAACGGGTCAGCGTACGGGCAGTCGATGCTGACTGGATGAATCTCCACCGTTGGATCAAAGTCGGCAAGAACGAGAGGCGGCGATGGTGTTTGGAACGCCTATTTCTTGTGGCGGTTTGGTTTTATTGGTTTTGTTTGTTTAATTAAATAAGTAAATGATTGAATATTGACTTTTAAGGATTGATTAAAAGTATTTATCAGGTTTAATTTATGTCTTATATTATTATTTATTTAAAATTAGTGATTAAATTTGTATTTTTAATGTAATACTCTATTCAGTTTGAAATATATCTATCTATCTATTTATTTTTCTATGTATAAATCTAATTATCATTCTTAAATTTTTATATTATTAATATATATTACAATTTTTAATTAAAATTTATTATTTTAAATATTTATTTATTTTTTAATAACACACGTGCGTGAACCCCTAATTTCTTGAACTGCCTAACCCTATAATCAAAGTTGGCAATTTTACAGTTCTGCTTGGTGTCACTGATACTTTTCCGTGCGTGAACCCCTAATTTCTTCGCTGTAAGTATCATCGACGATACTTTTCCGTCGAGTCTTGCCGCCGCCGTCCTATCTCCATATCTTCGACCTTTGAATTCCAATCAGGTGCTGGTTCAATCTACGTTTCTTGAGCTCTCGTTGCTGCTTGGTTTACTTATCTTTTCTGTGTTGTAAAGGGAACATGTATTGTACTCGAGGATATCCAATCTTTGCTTTCTTAACTGCTTGGTTCTATTAATATGCTTTAATTTGCATTTTGATTTTTGCAATAATGAATTGATAATTTGTATTCCGTGGAATTGTGTTTCCCTGATGATGCGAAGCAGGATCTTAATCATTTCTGATTTATCTGTTCGCCTTTTTGGTTCTGTGTTCATTGCGTTTTTAAGCTCTGGTTCTAATCATCATTCGTCAAGTATGAACATCTACTGTAATTGGATAGTTAAGATCAATTGGTTGGTTTTAAAAAACTTGAAGCCTAATAAAATTTAGTAATTCGGCGATTAGAATGTTTGGAATTCGAGTCAGTACTTGTCTAAAGGACAATTGAATTTGTTGTATAAAAAGTTGGAATCGAATCCTTCAAGTGTTAGTGTTAATTGAGTCTTGCAACCAGCACAATGCTCATGTTTAGTTTCCATCAATGCACTTAATGGATTTACATATTTTTCACAAAGTAGATCGAAAAAATGAAATCGATAAAAGGTAACCGAACCACCAACTTGAATTTGAATTCATTATGATTGGTTTTGCTCTAAATTCAAACTAGTGTAATCTAAAATTACTAACTGATTTCAGTTGCTGAGTTGATCTTAAATTCATTCGGTAAATCGATGATTACTGAACCAGATCTTTGAACAACAACTTTTTGCTTCTTTAGGGATGAATGAGTGTATAAAATTGGGAGAAAACTATGAAAACGATGAATATCTATCTAACTGGTTGATACTTCAATGAAGTTTTGAATTGCATTCACATGAATCTCTCAAAAATTGTATATGTAAGTAGAGCCTTCGGGTTGTTATAGTCCCTCACTTGAATCTGCTAATGGACCATCTGAAACAGGGAAATATATTACGCCTATGGAGCTCGAGTTACGTCTACTTGCATTGTCTTGGCTGACTTTCATACAAGTTGTCGTAAATGGATCTAAATTATTAGTTTAACTACATCGAAATGCATTTTAAGTGAATATTGCGACAAAATTCTTGTTGTAAGTTTCATTTAGTTGGAAATAATGATCAATAAAGGCGATAAATACATGTTCTAATGGAACTAACATACAAACAAAATCTGTTTTTTTGTAGGATCGAACATGCTACTTTCCACGGCGTTCTAAACATTCTCTACCCGATCACGCAGCTACACATCTTTCGAATGGACTCTAAGGCTATTCTCCACAGCGGCGGATGCCACTGCAGACGTATAAAATGGAAAGTCCGTGCCCCACCAAGCATTGTTGTCTGGAAATGCAACTGCTCCAACTGCTCGATGAGGGGCAACACTCACTTCGTCGTCCCTTCCCAAGATTTCCAGCTCGATGAAGAGTCGAAAGAGTTCTTGACAACGTACACGTTTGGCACGCACACGGCGAAGCACACGTTCTGCAAGGTTTGCGGCATAACTTCATTCTACTTCCCAAGATCGAACCCGGATGGCGTTGGGGTCACAGTCGGGTGTGTGGATCACGGAACGCTGAAGCATGTTGAGGTTAGGGACTTCGACGGGGAGAATTGGGAGAGCTCGTACGAGCAGTCGGGAATTTCGACGTTTTCGAAGAAAGTTTTGGAGGAGTGATTGTCATCCGTTGATGCTTCTTTGTATCATCGAATCATCTCAGAAGCTTTCTGTGTTGTTTTTATATATATATATAGAGAGAGATATAGTTTTGTGATGAATAAAGAGGATTGATTTTGTACTTAGAAGCTTTTCTTATGAGGGGTTTGTACTGATAAATTTAAAAATACGTTACTATTCTAGGTTTGTTGATTGATTTGGATTTTCTTCTCTTCATTTTTTTTGTTCACAAAAATTATATCAAATATTTATTTTTTATATTAAATTTAAAATTAATGTTATCTTAAAATATCAAATGATCACTTATTTACATAGATTTGATATTTATTTTGACAATTTTATCTATGTTTTGAAGTTTGGAGAACCTTCTCTTTAAATAAGTAATGAATGGAATAACAACGGTTACTTTAAAAGTACTTAGGTGTGGGGTTGGAGGCCACCCACTATTGCTTTTTTTCTTTTTTTTTTTCATTTTCTATTAATATTATATCAAATTCAACTTTAAATTCAGTTTCAAACTCAAACACACCACCCTCGAAATTTTCTTTTGAGGAGAATTATTTTATTTTTTTGCTATTATATTTAATTCGAAACATTTCAAAAATTTTATGATTCTTTATAAACATAGAAAATTTCTTTTTATACTCATTTAAAAGTAATTTATAGAACATATAAAATAAAAGCAAAAATATATATATATTTTTTTTTTAAAAAAAAAACTATAAAAAAAATTATATCGGGTAAACTAAACAAATAATAATGATGGGAATGGGACAAGTAGTCTATAAGCGATGAGCTGGCAGTGGCACAATATATCCTTTGAATGTATCAATGGTGTGGTGTCGTGTACACGGACAACATTTAATGCTTTCTATCTACTCTTTTTTTTAAAGCGAACATTAATTTTATTTAATTTAACTCAATTCACTCACATTATTTTTTAAAAAGTTTTTTAAAAAATGCTAAAATTGTTATTTATATTTTTTAGAATAATTTAGATTATATTTAAAATAAAAATATTAATTATAGATAAATATTAAAATAAAAAAAAAAACAGCATTTTTAATTAAAAAATGGAGTATTACATTGTCCCCACACACTATATATAAAAGCAAAGACTGATTACTGAACCCACTTTCTACTAAAGTAATGAATAAATTTAATAGCACTGGTTTCATAATCTACACGTCAAATGATATAAATAAAATATATACTTACTATTTATATATGTTGTAGTGTCTGCATAATTGTTTTCATCATCATTCAAATTTATTTTTATTTTTATTTTTTGATTTTCATTTAAATTTATTCTTATTTTTTTAATAAAAAATATCACTTTTTTTACCAAAATAAATAAAAATGTCTATTTTTATATATTTTTTTTTAAAATTCATGTCCGATTAAATAAGCACACAATTGGATGGCGGAGAGAAGATTTAATACTCTCTAAGTTGCGGGAAAACTCGCTCAGTCTCATTTTAGTGTAGCCTTATGAAAGTTTAGATTAAAAAATAGTACTGCATCTCATTTGTCGTGTGTCATCTGTCCCACTTGTCGTTTTTTTATTATAAAAATAAAATAAAATAAAATAATATCATTTTTAATTTTTTAAGTTATATTTTTTTTTAAATTTTAATTAGTTATATTAATTTTAATATATAATTATTTTTACTATATTATACAATAACTATTTCTACTAATATATTAATTTATATATTCTACATTGAACACCATAGTGGCAACAGGAGGATGAGGAAGTATTATTTTTGTTTCATATATGATATAATATTTGATTTTCTATATGAACAGTATGAAGTAAAATAAATTAAAAATAAAATAATATGATAAAAGATATATGAGTGTATATTTTTATTTATTTAACTGAAGGTTGATTTTTTGTTAGAGAATATAATATACTTTTTTGTTGTTCATTGAACAAAATAATAACGTAATTTTAAATGATAAAAAATATATACTAAAAATTGTATCAAAATATAATTTTGTTTGAAAATAATTGTTTATATTTTACAAAATAATAATAATAATAATAGAACCAAACCCAAGTCAAACACTAGATTTATAATAATAATAATAATAATAATAATAGTAGTAGTTGTTGTTGTTGTTGTAGTAGGCTCGTATGGAATGGTGCAATGACTAGTAATATGTGAAATGATCTTATGAGTGTAAGATCATTGATTTAAAATTTTGTGACACATTTTGATCTAATTTTTTATTATTTCAAATTTGTATTTCTAAAAAATATAAAATATATATATAGATAGATAGATATTATTGTGGTCTGAGTTTGACTGATGAGTAAGTCTAAGTGTTATAAAAACCATTATTAAATTGCCACCAATATCCCTCGTGATGCTTCTGCCAATTATTATGTTCTCTCAATCTCTTTCTTCTATGGATCAGATCAACTCTCACTCACTCACTCACTCGCACCTCATTTCAACTTGCATTTCTTTAATTTACCTTTTTTATTATTTTTCAATTAGAAAAATATATCCATATTTGTTATAAAATTTGCAAATCTTGTACTTTTAACTTAGGAGGGAAAGAATAAAATATTTTATAAAAAGTTAATATAATTTTATAAAAAAATAATAATGTATATATATAGCCTCGAAAGAAAGCAAAGCATGGGTGGTTCCATTCCAAGCAATGCCATACTCTTCTCTTGTGTTATGTCACTATAGCTGACGCCTGATCACCGCCGCCACGTCACCTTTATTAGTATTAAAATATATTTATATTTTATATTTCATAAATATGGATTTATAATGATTATGATTTGTTTATTTTGACACAAAATTGTATGTTTATATTATTTGGCCTCCGGGTCTTTTCAATTTTTTTTTTTTTTTTATAAAATATTTGATCATACATTGTTTTAATACCAAATTCAATTTTTTTTTTCAAATTTATTAAAAAAAACATACTCAATTGTAATACCATAAAAAATGACCCGTTGATGTCATGAATTTAAACTTGTCTTTAAATTCTATTGTCACATAGTATAATTTATCTATTTCTTCAATCTCGGCTAAGTGTTTTTTGTTGTAGGCACGAGAATTTAAGAGGGATACATTTAATGAATAATTTAAAATATATTAGTGAAAATAATTATCTTATAAAAAAAATAATTTTAGATTAAAATTAAAATAATTAATTAATATAATTACAAATAAAAATTATAAATTAAATTTTTTAAATAAAATTTAAATATATAATATTTTTCAGAAAAAAAAAAAGAAATAGAACAAATCAAAATAGAAAGATGGAATAGTATATAGGTGAGACGAGAGATTAATTTACATGCATTCCTTCCATCCCCAATATATACATTTTGCTTTTTTCGATAAATATATATATATACACATTTTGTTATTTTGAAAGTCCATAACAAATATTTTTTGAAAATACTTTTATTTTATATTACCAGTAAAAAATAACTCGTATATCAACTTTTTTGCAAACACAGTGACTGCTTTATAAATTTCAAAATATTACCTTAAATATTTATTTTATATAGTATAAAATTAGTCCAAAAAAAAAGGCGAAGATACAAAGAAGCAGACCCTAACAAAAACCTGTGTCAATATGCATGCAGCTGTCCCTTAGCATTGATGAATTATTATTATTATTATTATTATTATTATTATGAGAAAGCTGGAAACCGCGTCTCCCCTACATCCACCCATCATTAAATCTCCGCCGTTGATTCACTCACCATCTCATCCGTATAAATAAATATCCTCTCTCTCTCCCCTTCACTGTCTCACTCACTTCATACTCCTCCACAGCTAAGCTAAGCTCTCTCTCGCTCACCATCAACAATGGCGTCTTCCAGATCTCGCCGTCTTTCTCTCCTCCTTTTCTTTTTTATTTCTATACCTTCTTTTGCACTTGCTGCTCATCGATTCGACAATCGGATTTCCATGGCTTTTCCTCTTTCTATCGCCGCCGGTAAGCCTTCCACGGCGGCGAACCGCCTGTCCTCCTCGCTGCTCCAGAGAAAGACGAAGACTCCGATTCCGACGCCGGCGCCTCCGTTCGATTATAATTACAAGTCGGCGTTTAAGTATTCGATGGCGCTCGTCGTTTCGCTCCCTATCGGAACGCCGCCGCAGGCGCAGCAGATGGTGCTCGACACCGGAAGCCAGCTGTCGTGGATTCAATGTCACCGGAAATCGCCGAAGAAACCGCCGCCGGTGACGTCGTTCGATCCGACGCTTTCGTCGTCCTTCTCCGAGCTCCCCTGTAACCACCCAATCTGCAAGCCGCGAATTCCCGATTTTACCCTCCCGACGACTTGTGACCAAAACCGCCTCTGCCACTACTCCTACTTCTACGCCGACGGTACTCTCGCCGAGGGCAATCTCGTCAGAGAAAGATTTGCTTTCCCCCGGTCCCGGACCACGCCGCCGCTCATCCTCGGCTGCTCCGCCGAGCCCAGCGAAGCCGAGGGTATTCTCGGGATGAATCTCGGACGGTTATCGTTCGTCTCTCAGGCGAAAGTTCCTAAATTCTCCTACTGCGTGCCGTTCCGGCGAGGTCAGGACAAGGTAAATCGCACCGGCGCGTTCTATCTCGGCCGGAATCCGAATTCCGGCAAGTTCCGGTACGTCAATCTCCAGCGATTCTCCCAAAACCAGCGGATGCCGAACCTCGATCCGCTGGCCTACACTATTCCGATGACCGGAATCAAAATCGGCGGCACGCGTCTGAACATCTCGCCGTCGGCTTTCCGGCCGGACGCCGGCGGCTCCGGCCAGACAATGATCGATTCCGGCACGCAGTACACCTTCCTGGTGGACGCGGCGTACGAGAAGGTGCGGGACGAGGTCGTCCGGCGAGCCGGAGTTAAGCTGAAGAAAGGCTACGTGTACGGCGGCGCGATGGACATGTGCGTCGACGGCGGCGATACGGCGGCGGCGGAGACGGGACGGCTGATAGGCGACGTGGCGTTTGAATTTGAAAACGGCGTGGAGATATTGGTACGGAAGGAGAATGTTCTGGACGACGTCGGGGGTGGGGTCCACTGCGTGGGGATCGGACGGTCAGGATCGCTCGGCGTGGCGAGTAACATTATTGGGAATTTTCATCAGCAAAATCTGTGGGTAGAGTTTGATCTGATTGGTCGACGTGTGGGATTCGGTGAGGCCGACTGTAGCAAATCACTCTGAGGACATTTCTGTAAATTAGCGTATGTAGGTTTAGGAATTAGGAGGAAATCAAAGTCTAGAAAAGCAAATATAGAGAGAGAGAGAGACCAGTTGTACCTAAGTTATAAGACAAAGTTTGGTTGTAAGATTTTAAATAATTATCTCTAATCATGTTTTTTTTGGATGATATAAAATTTATATTGATTTATTTAAACATAGGGTAAATGTTTTGAATTATAGTACTATATAGTTATAGAATTATGTTATATATATTGAATATAATAGATGTTTGATAATATGTTGAACATAAAAAATAGCAATTTGTTTTATTGTGTTTTTCCTATCTATTTTCGCTAATTTATCTTTTTTCTACAAAATATTCATCAAATAATTATTATAAAATAATTTTTTACTATTTTAAAACACACCAAAACCAACCCAAGAATTTTCTGCATAATATTCTATATTAACTTAATAATTTCAAAGAAGAAAAAAAGTAATTTCATATCCACATACGTCCAGATATAACTCAAGCCCCTTCTTCTGTGTTTTTAAATATAGCTTTCAATGTTACTTTTTCTTTTTATATCTAGACATACATCCAAACACAAATTAAAGTTTTTTTTTTTTTGTTAAATACATTTTTTTTTTCTTTTTGATAAATTACATTCAAATATCTATTTTAAAATGTTAGATCAAATATTTATTCAAACTTAAAAAAAAAAAAAAAAAAAAAAAAACTGGAAATCTCACTGTCATTTTATTGAACAGTATTGAATTTAATTTATATTGCACTATATATTATAGATAAGATATGTTCTTTTTATTTCTGTAAAACAACAGTTGGATCTATTCTAAATTGTGTTGACTCAAGTGTATGTATGGTCTAGATGTGTTTTTTGCTATTCTAATGGACAACATGATTGAATCTATTCTAAATTATGTTGTCCTACATATATTGTTGTATTGAACAACATTATTGAATCTATTCTAAATCATGGTGACCATTATTGAATCTATATACTATATCATTTTGACCCCCACATGTGTATAATTTTTATGCTATTCTATAGCGTGTGTGAAATCTAATTTTAAATCAACACTATTGAATCGAGAGTAGTATAAATTAGCCAATGCATACATATAATCATTATTTTTTTTTTTTAATGTGGATTTTAAAAAATGATAAGTTCTTGATGAATTATTAGTGTCTGTAGTAGACTCAAAGAACCCAAAAAAATGTTTTCTATTGTACAAGATAGAAATTTTTTTTAATTGAAAACTCTTTGAAAACAAACGCACCCTAAGATGCCAAAAGGGATGAGAGAACGAGAATTGAATCCAAAGAATAAGTTCAAAAAAAGCTTTGTCTCACCAAAAAAACCTCAAAAAATTATTACATATTTGTCTCAATTTAACAAAACCAGGCAGAATGGCAAAAGCTTAACCTATAGCACCAACAAGTTCTCCGTATAAAGATTTCGATCTAGCAAAAATCAAAGGGGCAGTAAGAATTTTAGTACCTTGTATTCCGAGAAGCACAATTATATATCAGGGCTGATAAACATCAGGAAGCCGCAGCCCCACACTCGCAGCAGATTTTCCAATTACCTTTTTCATTTCATCAGACCGATCCACGGCAATGTTGTGTGAAAACAGCAACTCCTGTAATCACATAATGTCAACATTCCTCGCTCCTATTTGCAATGACAACTTGCAAGGCAGTTTGGACATCTCTTATCATACAATATTAGTTCAAGTCGATGATCATTCTTGAGAAGAATGAAAATAGATATGGTCAATAACAATTTATATTGGAGCAAATAATCATTCTTAAAACAATTTACTTCTTTATTGCTGCACAATGGCATCCTGCTAACAAAACAATTTAAGTAAAGCAGCCTTAAATCCTTCAATGGTGTTAAGTATATTGGTTTTTGCAATTTTGTTGTTCAATCTGTTGAAGGACTCCCAATAAAAACCTTGGAAAATCTTATTAAATGAAATTAAAAAGATTTTACTTCCTTCTTGTGGCCAATCTAAGGTGACTTGGATTTTCTAACAACTCCTAAAATAATTTCAGTTTTTCCACCAATCCAATAAGCATGCTAGCTTCCAGATGTAACAAAATTGTAATCTAGAGGAAAAAATATAGTCAAATACTAGAAAAGTAAATTTGAAAACCTATAGATATATCAAGTAAATAAACTTCAGATTCAACTTCCAATATTTCGTGAAATTGATGTCATTAGAACTCCAACATATCCCATCAAACAGGGTTCTCAGGCCATTGAGAAGTCAAGTATTCCACGAAATGGCCATTGCAACATTCTTTAAATCATTTACTACTATAGAACACATAGGAGCGTGTTCTGTTACACGAGACTCCGAATCATAAAGAATTAGGACACAATATGGTTTTTATTACTTTGGCCCAACTCCCAAGTAGGTAACTAAACTTGCAAAATTCACAATTTAGTAAAACAAAGAAAATTTGACTAGTGAGAGATTTCCTAAATCAGGGGCAAGGGCAAAGGCAAAGGCAAAGGAAGCATGACTTGACCTGGCTGTATCCTTAAAATGTCCACAGACGGATCATAGAAAACAATTTACTGGCAAAATATTAGCACTATTTACGAACTCTAACAATAAAGCACTTCCACTCCTGTGCTTCTAATTAACAAGAAGCAGTTGGAGTGTGTTTGTAAATTCAAACTTCTACTTCTAACTAGTTACAAAATTTTAACTAGAGACTTCGTTGTGCTTCTAATTCTAATAGATTGTTCAGTTTTAGAAAAATACAGTAGTTCTGTTTTAACATTTTAAATCTTAGTGAAACTAGACCCAACCACCAACATATCTTCCCAGAAATCATTGATTATATTTTTACTATATTTATGTTAAAAACATCATCGTCGTCGTCGTCGTCGTCATCATCATCTTCTTCTTCTTCTTCAAATTTTCTTAAGATAGCTATGAAACCATACTTTTCCTAGGCATCCAAAATTCAAAATTACCTTCTAACTTTTAAATTTGTAGTCTATAACCTAATTTCCAAACACTTCAGCTACAACTTTTAAGTCTAACTTCAAAATTTATTCTCATTTTAAGTATAAGTAAACGGCAGACTTTGTGCATACGGTGCCAGAATACAATATTTGAGCAGGAATTATACAAATTATCTATAATCTTGATGTATTTGATAATGTGTAATTCATGTAAATCTACAATGATAAAAAGGCAAATAATACTCAAAATTTACCTATGAAGTTGATAGCAGAAGTTTGAAATAAATAATCATTGCACATAGCTGTGGAATTCATTCAATTCCAATAGAAAAATGCTAATCCCATTTGAGTTTTCATCTTTGCACCAATGCTTGAACACCAAAAGTAATACTCCCTTCATTCACCTCTATAAGTTACATTTATCTCTTGCGTCGTTGTATCAAACATTAAAATTATTCGTATATTTATATATTTTCTTGTACAAATATCATTATATTAGTATATAAGCCACTAATAGTTGTACTTTTATCATTTTCTCTTAATTTGTAATACGTTTTGATATAATAATCAATATTTAAATATCCCAAAAAGTAAATGGAAGTAAATGGAGTATAACTCAAATACTTGCCAAGCAGAAAGTAGACACAAAATTAGCCCTACAAATTAACGCCGAAATATTTCCCTAAGCCAATCATTATATGCAACAGAGTAAATAATATTAACAAAAAGTGAATATGAGAGTGAAAAATAAAAGCACCTTATGGTGGTGGACGCTCTTAAGATAGAAAGTATAATCGCTGGCAAGCTTCAGATTCGGCGAGCTGTTGCTGGCATCCTTTCTGAATTCATGGCTGATGTAATCGAAAAAAGGGGAATTACGTTTCTTTTTTCCAATATGCTGCTTCACTGCTTTGAGAAGGCTCCTGTAGACACCCTTTGTCGTTGTATTTGCTCCATGGATGATTGAAGCCATCTTTCTCACCGATTCTTCCTCTCAAAATTCAATTCACCTTCTGTCGCAAACCAATCAACAGCGGAACATTGTTAAAAAATATAGAACAGTAACAAATAAATGAAGCACCCTATATATAGACAAAAAAAATAAAAATAATAATTGCAAGATTTACATCTAAAACCCTCAACAACAGAAATTTAATGCTTCAACAACGAACTGGCGCAAATCCGCTGCTAGTAAACGATTTATACAGAAAAATCCTGAAACTGCCAACAATCGCCGATCTCTACCGAACCTCCTTCGACAGAGAATTGAAATTACAAATAAGCAAGGAGGGGAGGAAGAAATGCTGATGGAAGTAGACATCTCCAACCGGTTTTAAACCGGCGATTGCCATCAAACCGGTTTTGATTTTGATTTCAATCTTTTTAAAACTGTCAACAGTTAGATTTCGGATCCAACCGGCGGCTCATTATTTTTTTATTTGAAATTTGAATAAACATCAATATTAATCCGAATAAAACCTATTTTTTATACTATTCAAAAATAATTATCAAAATAATCCTATATAAAAAATATCTTACTTGTCAGGATTTAAACTTGATTTTACTGTTTCAATTTTTCTTTCCTTAAAAAAAATATCAAATCAAACACCAAATTTTTATTTATTTTATTATACTAAAATCTAATTTTACATTCAAAATATCGTATGAACACATATTTATATCACATCAAAAACTATTTCAATTCAAAATTTTATTATTCAAAATCAAAATCCAAAATTGAAACCTCACAGGTGTTTCCGATTCATTATTTTTTATTGTACCGTTTAGGTTTAAATAGAATGACATAGATTCAATAGTGGTTAAAAAATCACTGAATCTTCATATCAAAAAGTATTATAATTATCTTACATTTTTATATCAAATAAAATACTACTATAGGTTGTAGAGCGTATTTATTTAAATTTTTATAATAAATTAAAAAATAATAATATTTTATTAATTACTAAGTCTATTAAATATGAGACCAACTGATCAAATAGGACGAAAGTCGGCCATAATGATCCAAAAATCCTGTGTGGAAGGGCTCTTGCTCAACGGATCAAAGGTACATCTCTTATCGACGGAATCGTTTGACACTTTCATGTCGACTCATCACATCCGGGAGTTGAAGAAGGCAATAAGAGTTCGGTTACTTGTCAATTTAAGTGGTACATAAATTGGGTTTAAAACATTGTAACACAGTTTAATTTTTATCTATAGTTGAATTAATTTATGGTCTACTGATCGTTAAGCTGAACAGCTAAGTTGGCATGAAAAAACTATTTTAAAATTTAAGTTTTAGGATAAAGTAGGATGATTTTGAGAATTTTGTCATTTATGTATACTCCTAAAGGCACTAAAATATATTTATATATATATATATATTTATATATCTCAGATAATTTTTTACTCTATTCGTTCCAATGCAATAGTCATGTTTATTATATTTTTATCCGTTGTAAAACAATAGTCTCATTTTCATAAATAACCATATCATTATAAAATTACCATCATTTTTTTATTATTATTATGCAATTGCCACTATAATACACTCACAAAACAGAAAGTACTATATAATTTAATTTTTAAATTATTTTATTTAAATTTTTATGTGTCAAATATTGGATGGTATAGCAATTTCCTCGATGTCAGTTCCACGTAGGGTTTGGGGTGGGTTTTTATACTTCGTAATTCATTCCAATTCACCCGTAACGCTTCGCCATTCGCCCTTTCTTGCATAAAATAACTTCCAAAACAATGCCTTTTAGGCAAGCAGCTGCTAGATTCTGCAAGGAACTGCGAAAATCTTCTGGGTTGCCTAAAATCTGTAATTCTTCACCAAATACAGGTATTTCCCCACCCCGAACACTCTTTTGCTGGCGTTCAAATTATCGAATCGATGGAGTTGGGATTTTATAAATTCCGAGCCATTCCATTAATACTTTGTTGGAAACACAGTTGACTGTTGTAGGAAATTTGTTTTAAGTTTGTCTTGGGTACATAGCTATGATATATGTTTTTCATTGATCATTTGTGGATTGTTTATTGGGAATGTGTTATAAACAAAGATTATCGATCAAGGGGTGGAGGTTAGTGTTACTTATGTTTGGTACAAAGAATGGAATTGTAAGAAAATGATAGCTGATAATATAGTGGAGGAATTAAGTTGGGAAATGTAAAAAATATTTAGTTGAGAAATGTAAAAAAATACAATATGGATGAATCGGTTTAGAGGGGACGATGTATTGCCAGCGAAAAATAAGAGAATGAATTGATTAGGAGAAAAAAGAGGGTTCCGGACTTCTGCATAATATCAATTTTGCAAGTTTGAATCCATTTAAATACATTGGTGTTGGTTCTGCTTAGCTTCCTGTAATTAGTTTTGATCATGGAGCATAAGGGCAGCAGCTTTGAAGTTTATTAATTGCTCTTTTATCCTAGTCTACTTACATTATAATAAATTCGGGTGTGTTTGTTTGAGGGTTTGGATTTTAAATAGTAAAATTTTGAATTGACATAGTTGTTTGATCTGATATAAGTCTTGATGTGATATTTTGAATCTAAAAATTAATTTTTAATATAATTAAAAAATGAAAAATAGGTGTTTGATTTGATATTTTCGGAGACAAAATTTTGGAGGAATAGGAAAAATCCTCCAAAATTCCCAAACAAACACATTCCATATTTCAGTAAAATAGTAATACCCATTGGGCTTGGGCAAAAAGACATTTCAGCTGTCATGGCGTATAAATGATGCTAGATCATTGCTGTTTGACATGACTAGTGCCATGGGTGAAGTAACAGAGCTGATTATTATTTTTATTATTTATTTATTTCCAGGGAAGCATATAGTATCAAGTGAGTGTGATTTTGGTGGTTATACTAAGAGTAGGTGCCGGGGGGAAGCTTCAGGGTGGGTTTTTCTGTCTGCGCCGGCTGGTAAGCACTGTATCTTATGTCATAAATAGTAATATCTTGGTCATTTTACATCTTTGTGCTGATTGAGTAGCAAAACTATAGGTTTTTTTAGTTGTTTTTTGGAAGTATTTTGGTATATTCAATTATCTGGGAATAGTAAAAATTTGAAGGGAAAATAGCTCTTGGAGATGATTTTTACATAGAGAATTGATTTTTAATGTAATATTTTAGATGAAAAACGGATGTCTAAGGTAATGTCTTTTAGGAGGAAAGTTCTTTATGAATATGCATTTGAAAACATGCTTAAATGAACCTTATATTCATATGGTATATCCATATTGTGGTTGGAGACAACTTTTGTAGGCTTGTTGATACATATTAAGTGTAATGACTAGTTCTTACTTGGTTCAAGATGCTTGAGAACCATTTACTTCGTCAAAAGGTAGTTTGGTTTACAATAAGCAGATGCTTGTACTCTGTTCTCTCTAAGTTTTTCTCAATATATTTACTTTGCAATCTTACTGTTACCAACAAAGATAAGGAAACTGGACAAAAGAAGTCGTGCTAAACTTTGTGTCTGGCTTGTCAGTTGAGGGATAGAAGTGTCATGAAGAAGTCAGAATTGATTAATTCATGATGGCTTGGACTCATAATCACTATCTTAGGTGGACTTTATTTTTTAAGATGCTCATTGCTTTCTTTTTTATTCTGTCTGCAGCTTTACTTCTTGGGTCATCTTTGACTCCTTCCCTGGCAGAAGATGTTTCTCACCAATCATATTCAGAAAATGACAAAAACACCTCAAATAAAATTCCAGAAGAGGCATTGATATCAAATGAGCATACATCCAAGTGGAGAGTTTTCACTGATAGTGGCAGGGATTATTTTATGCAGGTAAGAGTTTCATATAATTCATCTATATTCACCTATACATGCCAGTTCCTAAAAGATTTATTTTTACAATTTTTTCTTGTAATCTAGGGAAACCTAGAGCAAGCTCAGAAATTTTTTCAATCCGCATTACAAGAAGCTAGGGAAGGTTTCGGAGAAAGGGATCCACATGTTGCTTCCGCATGCAACAACTTGGTGGGTCTGCCTTATAAGAAACTCAATATTTCATTTAAATATATCATAATGTTTTATTGTGATGTAACTGTACTAATGACAATTACACTCAACATTTTAACTAGTTTATCTTGTTTTCTGCCACAAATAAGTTCTTATAGCATATTGGCCAATGTTAGTGCTTCTTTGTGCCAATAATATTGTTCATTTCTTGCTGGACCTCTATTTAGTTATATCTGATTGGGTAAATCTTTCTACTTTTCGTAGTTATAACTTTCTTCAGCAAAAACACCTCGTTTCATGTTTGTTTTTGAGATAATACATCACTGGACGTTGATGCCTAATGCCTTTACCTGTTTACGAGGCTTTGTGGTAGATATTTTTGACAGGTTTGAGTATTCTCCAGTAATAGTAAGGGCAATCTTCCATTCATATGTCAAACACTACATTCGCCCTTACTTATTATTTTTACTATGTTTCCACTTAATTTTTAAAAGTTGGTTAAATTTCTATTATTGGTGCAGGCTGAACTCTATAGACTCAAAAAGGATTATGAGAATGCAGAACCATTGTATGTGGAGGCCATTAATATACTTGAAGAATATTATGGAAGAGATGACATAAGGTATAACCTAGATTTGTTGATGACAAGGTGATATGAGGTTAGATGAATATTAAGGGTTATGTTAGACAAATTCACTTAGGTTTGAGTTTGGCACAAGGTTAATTACTCAATAGTTGGCTTTTGCTTCGTTTTATTTTACTTTAGTTTATTTGGATTTTTTTATTTAGTGTCTTGAGTCCATGTAACTGGGCCTATGCATTCCACAACCATTTACACACTCAATTTATCCAATATTTTCTCTCACTTCATTAACTTGCACATATACTTTCAAAAATACTACTAGTTTATATCACAATCAGTCAATATAATACTATATTTTTTAAAACCTGTGTTCAGCTCATAGGAGCATGCATATTTATCATGGACGGAGGAAGTACTATATTGATATATCATATATAGCATTAGGGCCATCGATGTTATTTGTAAAGTATATGCCAGTTCCTCTTTTATGTTTTGAAGAAAAAAAAAAAAAACGAGAATTTTATTATCATTGAGGGATGGAAAAAATACACATTGGACTTTTGATTGATTTCCCCATGAAGACTGTCTTCTCATAAAAGCATTAGTAATCAATTTTTTCTATTCTTAGTTGAAGCTTGTTGCACAGTTAAATAGGAACCTTTCCTTCACCACCTCACCACTTTAATCAAACACTGCCTTACATGTTTTTCCTTTTTTTTTTTTTTCGGAAGTAAAGTGACTTTAGTCATTTAAATAGTTTACAATGTCGAAATTTAGGAACAAATAGACAAGCATTTCCTTCTAAACAAGATTACATGGGCCAATCTATAATTTGAAATAAAAACATTATAGCCACGCAGACAAGTCCTTTCCTTCCTCGGCTCCGCACTTTGGGAGGATGAAAATCCAAACTATTTTCACTTCTAGGAATATGATGGAAATTGATAACTGGGCATCTAGAAAGTGCTGCAATTTTTTTATTTCGAATATGAGCCTCCAAAGGGGTGAAGCACCCTTAATCCAGCCAAAGGCATTTGTGGAGTTGCACCCCACAACAAACTGAGGTGATGGTCTGATATGGTCTTGGGACCTGACATGTTGTTCTTTTAATCTTAAGTGATCTCATCCTTTTTTTTTTCATGGATGAAGAGTTTACACATGAGGTCATTATTGTATTTATGTACATATGTATAAGGCACAAATACAAATATGGTATGCTTTGGTATGAATGTGAGCATGTTAACATCTGCATGCCAGTGCATATTTTGATGAAATTTTGCTTCTATTGTTGCAATATAATCTATATGGATCTAGCTAGTATTTTTCTTAGATGTTATGGATTGTTTAAGTCAATAACTGTGTGACATCTCCTATGAATCTTGAACACCAACCCCTGAATTTCATTGGCTTTTAATGTATAGAGTTGGAGCTGCCCTTCACAATCTTGGTCAATTCTACCGTGTATTGCGAAAATTGGAAAATGCTCGTGGATGCTATGAGGTAAATTACCATAGCATGCCTTTTATGTTAGATATGTGGATCTCGTGTTGTTCATTCTATACTGAAAGCAATACCTTTCTTTCTTGATCCTTTTTTGGCAGCGTGCTCTAAAGGTTTGTATCGTGTGACATGCGTATCTTTTCCATTTATGGATAGAAAAGCAGACTTCTGGTTGTATTACTATTTTCTGCTTAACTAGATCAAGCGACGGGTCCTTGGAGAATTTCACTCAGACTATGCTGATACATTGTATCATCTTGGAACTGTGAGTTAAAAACATTATTTGCTAATGGTGCTACTTTTGATATATTTCAGTAACTTATCTGATCTTGATAAGAATAACTTTCAGGTCTTGTATCTCCAAGGGAAAGAGAAGGATTCTCAGGACTTGATTGCAGATTCCATACAGATACTGGAGGTTCATCAAAATGCTCCGTCTGTGACTTACGCTAGTTTTCTGTAATATCCACATATGTATTCTTTTCCTCACTTCTTTATGTTAACATGTAGGCAGGTGAGCTCAGAGACTCAGCCCTTTGTGTCAGAAGAATGCAATTTCTGGCTCAGGTTTGTTTTGTTTTGTTTTTTAAAGTCATTTGAAGTGCTTTGGAGTTTGTGCGAGAAGAGTTATGCTTAATCTGGATATATATACCTAAATCTTCATTCACCCCAATTATTTATATGATAATTGATAAGCATAGTTATTAATATAATCCATATGATATATATTTACTTGAACTGTCACATGCACGAACACAAATAGGACAAACTCAATGCATAAATACATTCAACAATCAACATTTCTCATTTATTAATTTAGTTTTGTAATCTGTTGCACTGCCATGAAGTATTATGTAGTCGGGACTTGTATTCTGCAGCACAAAGGATAGAATAAGAAATGGAAGGACATGAAACTAAAACCAAAATGAATTTGTACTGTATATATATTTTTTGTTGTTACCAAAATTCTCTACCTGAACTTGTACCATATTATTTTCCCTTTTTCTTGTGAAAAAGTTGCAATTTTGGAAAGTTGAGTACGGAACTTGTCTCGATACTGGAGTGAGAAACTAAATTACATGATCAAGTATGTTGGAGTTGAGAAACTAAATTTAGTGTGTTTTTTTTCAGTCAGGATTGGGTCTGGAGGTTTGGGTTTTTTATTATAATAATATTTGATGTGATGTTATGTAAAAAAGAAAAGTGTATTTTTTTTTGGATAATTTGGAGTTCAAATAGTACAAAACAAGATAAAAACTCAAAAGAAGTCTGTTCAAAATTTCATGTAATCTCACAATGCAGGGTCCATCCCAAAATATTTTGTGCTCCTTCTTAGGCATTTTATTTTAGTTTCTTCACAAAAATTGGGTCCCAAACTTATTGTTTTGTTTTTCTCTTCTTAATTATAGATTTACAGCAAGTCCAACAAACTTTCTGAGGCTGAGATTTTATTGAGAAAGATTCTGCATGTGTTGGAAACATCAAAGGTTTATCATCTATGAAATCTATGAAACAAATTTGTGTTCTTGATTTCTTTTTCACACTATGGAATCTATGAAATATTTTCTCTCTAAGAAACAGTACATCTACAACCTAATTTTCAAAGCAGGGGTGGAAATCTTTGGACACAGTTGTTGCTGCTGAACGGCTTGCATTGGCCATCCAAGCAGTAGGGAAGTTGAGAGAGGCAGAAGAATTGTTAGAAAGGTGTGTCACTCTCAATGAAGAATAAAGTTACATCGTTATGATTGAAGAATTAACATTTACTGTTCATTGAGCAGATGCCTTGATGCTCGAAAAAGCCTGCTTCCTGTTGATCACATTCAGGTTTAGTGGATTTGTGTTTCTGTTCTTTCTGACGTTATGCTATCTTCTCCAATTGTTTCCGTACATACAAGAACAATTTGTTCATTCCAGACATTAACTGGAACTGTTACTGCCTCTATAATGCTTCCAATTGTGTGACCAAAACTTTTTTATTTCTTCTCCATTTGTATACTTAGGACGTCATTTCTAATTAGTCTAGATTAAACCATTGTTCTTTGGAATTGTTGTGTTTCCTCTATAGTTTCCCCGTCTTCCTCTGACTGTTTCTGCTGTTGATAGAATGCAGCAAATGGACTGTTCCTCGCTAGAGTGAAAATGCTCATCTCCAAAACCGACACTTCTCGGGCTATGGCTGAAATTGACATTGCCAAAAATCTATTGCACAATTCAGTTAGGTTAGATTATCTGAATCTTTTAGTCATCATGTACTGCCTCTGGTTACTGTCATAAGCATTTATCTTTCCAATTGTTCATGCATAAACATGGCTACAGATATGAAGACATCATATCTAGGCAAAGTTTCATATTAACATACACAATATAATCAACTGTCTGGATTTGAAAAACTCGTTTGTTTGTGTTACCTAGATTCAACTTCCACTTAGCTTGCAGATCATTTTAACTCATTTAAACAAACTTCTGTGTTAATAATCTACCTTTGGCTGCCAATTACTATATGTTCCAGACATTATTGTCGTTGTTATGTTCTAGGTGATTCTGTCAGTTCATTATTTAAGACGCATGGCTGTGTTAAATTGATATGAAATTTCATTTTATTTTGAGTGGATTTCCACAGGGTAGCTCAGAAATCCCTTACCCGATCTATGGAGCAGAAAGGAAAGGAAAAGCCCAATATGCCACCTGGAAAAGCAGGGAAAGGGGCTCATTCAGCAATGTTGATACTAGTAAGTGTGCTGTAATAATATGCCATATCTCATTCTCACTAGTGTTGTGGTATTATTTTTTTGCTTTTACATGTGTTTGTAGCTACAATCTATGAATGCTCTTGGGTCACTCGAGCTTCTGAAGTTGGAGATAGTCGACTCTAAGGTTAGTGATTTTATTAATTATGCATAAGTGTCTACTATTGTTATTATTATTATTATTATGACTGTTGATGAGAAACCTGACTTCCGATTAGAAGTTTAGATGAATATTCCTTTGAGAAAAGCCTAAAAATGTATATCAGCCTTACAGCAATTGAAAATGCTTATTCTAGTATGGCCTCTTTTTAGATTTAAATGTTCCCTAAGATTGTCCATTTGTCGGAACTAAGATTAATTTCTTAAATTATGGTTTTACGTTAGCCAATTAACCTTTGAAGGCCTATAGACATGGAATGTATTTTCACTAAACCATTTTACTGATTTCAAACTAATTGCAAGGTCGAATTTTTGTTAAATCATTAGCTTGATCGGTTTCTTTATCTATTTTAATGCCTTTATGCTTCTTTTTTAAACAGAAAACTGTTCCGGGCAGCGCCGATGCTGCTCCATTTCAATGCCTTTCTGTCTACAAGGAGGTACGTGTGCAAACTTCAATTACAAATACTTGGTCAAAATAACTTCTTGAATCATTTTGATGTGATCTGTTTTCTTGAAATTTATGCAATGTGCTATGAATCATCTTAGAATGATTAAGATGCTGATTAGAGACTAAGCAATATTATTTTTATTAGTCTTAATCTTTGAATTTACATGTAATATATATTATGATAGACTTCGATTCTTCTGCTATTTTCTGCAGTTTGAAGCAGATAATTCGATATCTGAGTCACCCGAAATAAAATCCGAGTATCTCTCATGTTTAAAGCTATTTTCGGAGTTGATGAGTAAGAGCATCTTGTCGAAAGAAAAGGGTAGGCAAGAAAAAATAAAGGATGAAATCCACCGCATCGAAGATGAGTTATCGAGAGCACGAAACGACTGAATTTTCGAAATACAACATAGCATAGAAGAAAAGGAAGGCCTTCTCTTGTAGTTTTAGTTGAGCCAAAATGCGTTGTTCATTTGTTCGGGGTTTGGATTTTGAGTTGGGATTTGAAAAATAAAAGTTTTGAATTTGAATAGTTGTATGATGTGATATAAATAAGAGTTTGATACGATGTTTTGAATGTAAAATTGATTTTTAATATAATATAAAAAATAAAAAATAGGTGTTAATTTGATATTTTTGGAGAAAAAAATAGAAGGAATATTGATTGAAAATCCGACCCCCAAACAAACACACCTGAGTTTAAGTTTTGGAAAATTTTAGAAAATAGTAAAATATTTAATGCTTGATTTTATAGTTTTATGAGAAAGATAGTTATGCATAAACAGAGTCTAATACTCTTTACATGGAATTGTGTTTTGAGATAGTTGAAATAAATAAACAAAGAGAATATAAATTAGTGTATGAAAAATAAATATTGTAAGAAAAAACTGAATTGAATAAACCAGTGTAAGCTGTGCTAGAAAAAGGTCACGTGAGGCCTGGCCCAAGCCCAACCCATTCCAAAATTTGCCTATCACTAAAACACATGTATGCATATATATATATATATATATATATATATATATGGGTTGATGCATGTAAAATTTATCGAATATTAGTAAAATGTATGTGGATGATTGATAATTTTTTATTTAATCAAAAATCAAAGTAATTCTATGAGATGATATTGACTTAAAAGAATTAATTAAAATAATGTTTGAGCCTTGAATTAATATTTCAAAAATAGTAATATTTATTCAAATTAATATTTGAATAAATTAAATCGAAAAGTTAGCTATCATCATCTACAGAACACTCACAGAAAGGATAATATAACTAACGATTCTAAAACGACGACGACTTGCAGTAGCCTCGGCGCGTAAATAAATAATCAACAATGGACCTTTTCGAGAAGGATGATCAGCTTCTGGTCGTCGTCGTCGTCTTTTCGCAAACCCCAAACCCCAGACTTTGATCTCTATGCCAGCTTCAAAACCATTGCCTTTCCGCAATATTGTACCATGGATTCGTAATGGCGTAGCTGTACGAAGTGGGGCCTGACTCAGTCTTGTTCAGCCGCGACTCATGTCTTTTGCCTTTGGGGTCGACGACTTCAATGGAGATGAACACTTTGTTTTCCAGCATCTCCAGCTCCTGCGCAGTAAATACCCTGTCGGCATTCTCCACTTGTTTACACGGCATCGAGAGGCCGTCTTGGTGTTTCGACATATCAGTCTTCGTCAGCCTCTTCGTTATCATAAATATAGGCACGTTGGCCCCACCGCCATCGTTGCCCAATATTGCATCTTGGTTAGCATTGCTTCTCTCAGCCGCCTCGACAGGATTCGCTGGTTCTTCAGCTACTTCGGTGCCGATTCACGACTGATGATCGGCGTTTCTTGATCGGGGAGGGCTTCGACGACTAACGCAGGCTGATTGATCATGATGGGAGCTGATGATGTGCCGGGGAAGGAATTATGATGATCAGTAGATGAATTAGGGTTAGGGTTAGGGTTTGGATTGGGATTGGAGAGAATGAATCTCAATTTTCGAACTTTCGGAGGGGAAGCTAATTGATCGTTGACACCATTTAATCTTTCTGCAGAGATTTTGGGCCTTTCTCTTTCGACTCGCCGCCGTCGTCTTCCTTATCTGCTCTGAAGATATACCCGAGCATGCTCGTCAAGTACTCTTGGGTTGGGATGGCTGGAAAGAGACTGTATCTTCTGTTCCAATTGACTATGAACTTTTTCAGAAATTCTGTAATGGGATCAGGAAAACTCCAAGAGAAGTTTCCAGCTGTGAGTTGCTGGTCCAACTGTAGCATAAACTTAACAATCAGAATTCACGAAAGCAATCTCTCTCTCCGCAGCCATGAATTCGACGATAGAAATTGTAGCAGCAGAAACGAAGAACCGAACAGATATAACTAACAAATAATAACGAACAGATATAACTAACTTATTTTTCTTTGTTTCTGCTGCTACAATTTCTATCGTCGAATTCATGGCTGCGGAGAGAGAGGTTGCTTTCGAGGATTACTATCTCTTCACTAAAGGGGAGAGGGAGCTGATTGTTAAGTTTATGCTACAGTTGGACCAGCAACTCACAGCTGGAAACTTCTCTTGGGGTTTTCCTGATCCCATTACAGAATTCCTGAAAAAGTTCATAGTCAATTGGAACAGAAGATATAGTTTCTTTCCAGCCATCCCAACCCACGAAGAGTACTTGACGAGCATGCTCGGGTATATCTTCAGGAAGGTAGAGACAATGGAGATGAGGCTGGAGATGATGGAGGTGCAGAGAATGGAGATGAGGCTGGAGAGGATGGAGGCGGAGAGAAGGGAAAGGATGGAGATGGAGAGGATAGAGGCAGAGAGAATGGAGCAGATAAGGAAGACGACGGCGAACCGAAAGAGAAAGGCCCAAAATCTCTGCAGAAAGAGAACTGCTCGCGGGATTGATGGTGTCAACGATCAATTAGCTTCCCCGCCGAAAGTTCAAAAATTGAGATTCTCTCTCCAATCCTAATCCTAATCCTAATCCTAATCCTAATCCTAATCCATCTGCTGATCATCATAATTCCTTCCCCAGCACATCAACAGCTCTCGAAACCCTCCCCAACCAAGAAACGCCGATCATCAGTCGTGAATCGGCACCGGAAGCAGCTGAAGAACCTGCGAATCCTGTGGAGGCAGCTGAGAGAAACAACATTAACGAAGATGCAATATTGAGGAACGATGGTGGTGGCGCCAACGTTCCTATATTTATGATAACGAGGAGGCTGACGAAGACTGATATGTCGAAACATCAAGACCGCCTCTCGATGCCGTGCAAACAAGTGGAGAATGCCGAAAGGGTTTTTACTGCGCAGGAGCTGCAGATGCTGGAAGACAAGGAGTTCATCTCCATTGAAGTTATCGACCCCAAAGGCAATAGACATGAGTCGCGGCTGAACAAGACTGAGTCAGGCCCCACTTCCTACAGCTACGCCATAAGGAGTCCATGGTACGAAATTGCGGAAGCCAATGGTTTTGAAGCTGGCATGGAGATCAAAGTCTGGGGTTTGCGGAAAGACGACAACCACCAGATGCTGGTCATCCTTCTCCAAAAAGTCCATTGATGATTAGTTATGGAAAATTCAAGAAATATATATTAGCTAGGTTTTGTAACTGAAAACTGTGGTGAAATTTTGAAATATAATTTGGCAAAAATTATTTGAAACGAAAACAAATTTGATATATTTATATATTGTCATATATAAATAATGTAATGATTTTACAATATTTTGGCATGCAAATTTCGACGTTTAATTCAATTAATTTTGTCACATATCAGTATGTAATTAATTCAAACAAAATAATTGATTTTTTCATGTTATATTAAGGCTAAAAATAATATTCTGGAATTGGAAAACAAAAAACCAAACGAAACAGTATTAACCCTAATTGAATTGAGATGAACTACCTGGTTCGTTCGTCTTCTCTGTTGGGTCATTCCAATCCCAAATCGATATTCAACCATGACGACTTCTGCGGCAGCATCAGCCGGCGGACGACGGCGGTTGCAGCAGTCTGGATCGACTTCTTCTCCGACGAACTGCGGCAGAAACAACAGTCTTCCCGCGACCGGCAGTGCACAACCTCTTTCTCTGATCAGACTCCAAAATCTTGACGATCTTCTTCCTTCTTTTTTCTCCGGCGAAGGAATTAACAACGATGTTTGGCCCGAGATAACAAAGCCTCAAGATTGGAAATCGACTCGAGCCTCGACACTCACCGGACTCGGAACAGTTTTAAATCTCACCTGAAAACACTATAGTCGAGACTCTCCCTCATCCTCTCTTTCTCCATCGGTTTCCACTCTCTTGGTTTCTACACTGAACTGATCACTCAAAACTAATCCTTTTTAACCCCCAAAACTGATTCAACTAATGGGCTAAAGGTTTGGGCTTCAAGTTTAAGGATTGGGTTTGGGCTAAAAGAATTTGGGACAATCTAATGGATCGGGCTAAAAAGTGGGCCAATTTATTTAATTTATCAAGAGACTATAGTTAAATTAAACTTTTTTTTTTTTTTTTTTTTTAGAGGGACAAAGTGGTAAATAAACGTTTTAAGTGATAATTTGATCACTTACCAATAGAAGTGAATATAAGGGGATTATAATTATGAAATGGGTAATTATTAACTTTGGTCAAATTTTTTATTAGTAAGTGTCCCTAAAAATTATAGTAATGAAAATTAAAACATGACAATAATAATATAAATAATTGGAAAGATATTATTGGACCGGATAATGAAAGCCGGTGGATTTGACGGATAATCTTACACCGTCGATTTGTGAGGTCAACAAAATCAACGGCATTGATTGATCCGGTGTTGAGAACCTGGACCAAACTCTAATAAATAACAATCCCTTCCAGTATCATTAATTAATGCAGTTCGCAGTTAACAGCCTGTATTATGTGTATGCAGCGCACTACTTACTTAAAAATTAAAATTAATTTCCTAAAACACACTGTCGAATTAAAGTACAGTATGTTCTTATATTTGTATATAAATTCTTTTATATTATGAATTTCGAGTTATCTGGATTTAATCAATTGAAGTAAATAATAATAAAAGAGTAATGTTTGATATAAAATTTGTTTATTTGATATAAATATGAAAATATATATATATATATTAATGCTATTTTCCATTCCAAATTAATATATTTATTTTTATTCACCTGAAATAAATTTAATTTTTTAATAGTTTTATTTTTTTATATAACATAATTTTTTAAATATACGTTACATATTAAGTTTTAATACAAAATATTATTTTTATATTTTGTATCAAACTGAAGTACTGGACAATGAAATTAAAATCTAGCTAACCAATGAATACTGAATAATAAAATATTGTAAAAAAAGAAAAATAGCACCACTACATTCCAAATATGTTTTCGAATGTTTTAAAAATTATTAAACATTATCTCATAAAAAAAATATATATATTTATTTAAAATATTAATTTTTTTAAAAAAAGAATTCCAATTAAGCAAAAAACTATTACTATGAATTTTGTATAAAATTAACTAAAAAATATTTAAGTAAAGCCATTCCTTCGACAAAATTCCCTCAAAGAGGTTTTGGGTCCAAATCTCAAAATTTCCCTAACAAAAAATGGGGAAATTCACTTCCGACTGTCTTCTCCTTTTCTTCGCCGGCGCCGTTCTCCTCTCGTACGCCGCCGGTGACATCGCATCCGACCGCGCCGCCCTGCTAGCTCTCCGCTCCGCCGCGGGCGGACGCTCTCTGCTGTGGAATATCTCTGCCGACACGTGCTCGTGGCCGGGCGTCACATGCTCTCCCGACGGCGGTGCCGTTGTCGAGCTCCATTTCCCCGCTAAGGGGTTGTCCGGCCGGCTTCCGGCGAACGCCTTCTCGAATATGACGAATCTACAGACGCTCAGCATCCGTTACAACTCACTGACCGGCCCGATTCCGGCGGACATGTTCACCTCGCTGTCGAATCTCCGAAACCTCTATCTACAGCACAATTTCTTCAATGGCGGAATTCCAGATTCCATTTTTGCCCTAAATTCGCTCGTGCGGCTGAACTTAGCGGACAACAACTTTTCCGGCCCGATACCGGCGGGATTCAGCAACCTCACTCGTTTGGGGACGCTGTTTTTGCAGAACAATCAATTCTCCGGCGAGATTCCCGATTTGAAGCAATTCTCGCTGCTCGATCAATTCGATGTGTCCAACAACAATCTCACCGGAGAAATCCCCAAATCCCTTTCCAAAAAGGCGAAGAGTTCCTTCCTGGGGAATTCTCTCTGCGGCGAACCCCTAGATCCCTGCGCCGGCGGAGGCGGAAGTTCGAAATCGAAGAAGCACCTCTCCGGCGGCGCAATTGCCGGAATTGTAATCGGCGCCGCGCTAGGGTTTTTACTGCTCTTACTGCTTCTAATTTGTCTCTGCAGAAAGGGCGGCGCAAAATCAAAGGACAATGAGAGGGAAATCGAAGTTCCGATTCCGCCTCCGAAATCCGCGGAGGCAGAGAATCCTACCCCCGCCGCATCCGCCGCCGTCCCGGCGGCGAAGGTGAAGGGGAAGGGCCTGGACATGGGCGGCGGCGATGGGAAGAAAGGGCTGGTGTTCGTCGGCGCCAACACCGGCTGGAATTTCGGGCTGGAGGATTTGCTCCGGGCGTCGGCGGAGGTTCTCGGAAAAGGCACGATGGGGACGGCGTACAAGGCGGTGCTCGACAGCGGCCTGGCGGTGGTCGTAAAGCGTCTGCGCGACATCAATTTGGGGGAGAAAGATTTCCGAGACAGGATGGAGGAGATCGGGCGGATGGATCACGACAATCTCGTCCATCTCCGAGCTTACCATTTCCACCAAGACGAGAAGCTCCTCGTCTTCGATTACTTGCCGATGGGGAGCTTGTCCGCCTTATTACATGGTAACAACAATTTCCTGTGCTTTAAACTTTTGCTTTGGATTCGATCTTAATCTAACTGCTGCTGCTGCATTTTCTTGATTACCTGATCTGATCTGATCGGAAAATGTGTTTTCCGGTGGGTGGAAAATCGGTGAGAAACATGTGGTGTCGGGCCGGCCGGCCGTCAACGGTCGGATTGATATCATACTGTATGTCTGTCTGTTACTTGTTTGTCCTGTTCGATTTCTTGATCGACAAATAATGTGGGTTTGTCTGATCGGTAGTCGTAGTTTTCTATTTTGTTTGGTGCAATTTCAAATCTGTCTTCTGTGTTGGCTCCATCTCTTTTCATCAAAATCTTTTCTTGGTTTTGAATTGGTTCCAAATTGTTCATGAGATTTGATTTAATTACAAATATGATTTCGACGTATTCTTAGAGTCTCTAACATGAAACTGTAATAACAGTATACGGCAGTTAATTTCGTCGTAAAAATTGCTCAATTCAAAGCGCTCACCATGTTATTTTTTTCTAAAATGTCGAAGGAAACAAGGGAGCCGGGAGGACGCCGTTAAACTGGGACACGCGGGCAGCAATTGCGCTCGGCGCAGCAAAAGGCATCGCCTACATACACGCGCGCGGCCCGACGATTTCCCACGGCAACATCAAGTCGTCGAATATCCTCCTCACCAAATCTTACGCCCCCCGCGTCTCCGACTACGGTCTCGCCCAGCTGACTGCCACTTCCACCCCCGCTGCCCGTGTGGCCGGGTACCGGGCCCCTGAGGTGACCGACCCCCGCAAGATCTCCCACAAGGCTGACGTCTACAGCTTCGGAGTCTTGCTCCTCGAACTGCTGACCGGCAAAGCGCCGACCCATTCGTTATTAAACGATGAAGGGGTCGACCTCCCACGCTGGGTCCAATCGGTCGTTCAGGAAGAATGGACTGCGGAAGTGTTCGATCTCGAGCTCCTTCGATACCAGAACGTCGAGGAGGACATGGTCCAGCTGCTCCAGCTGGCGGTGGACTGCACGGCGCAGTATCCGGACAAGCGGCCGGGGATGGACGAGGTTGTCACGAAGATCGACGGAATCTGCCGGAGACAGACGGAGAACAGTGACGACATAACCAACGTTGGTGAAGAGGAAGAACAAGGTAAGTAAGATTCTTTTAAAGATTTAAAATGTATTTTTGTGTTACATTTGATTTGATTGATATTTGGTTGGTTTCATTGATGATGTTCTTTGTCAAATTTCTGCAACTGGGAATTGCAATAATTTTTCTTATTTTTTGTCTGAAATATTTGATTTTTTTTTAATGCATTCTAATGAGTGTAGAATGAACTGTCAATATGTTCTTTGTTGAGCTGGTGTCTTTATTATTATTATTATTATTATTGTTTATTTATTTATTATTTTATTTTAATATATATGTTGCCGTCTTGTTAGGTTAAATAATTAACTAATTGCCTACTACATTACAGTGCAGATGTTCATACCTATTTTTCCTTATAGGATGTTTGTTATGTTTAGAGGCATCTTGAATGTGTTCATTAGTTTTAGTCAGCATACCATAATATTTTTATATAGTATATGTAATAATTAATTTCATCACAAAATTGTAATATAATACAATGTATGTATGAAGCAACAATACAGGACTATTTAAATTGTTATTTTTCGAAAATAATATATTTGTATAATTCTACAAATGATTAGAATTCACTGCTTTATATTTTTCATCTACAGCGGTTGTTATACACATGATTAGAATTCACTGCAAGTGACGACAATTAGATCGCTCATCGCGTCAAATTAATATCGTATTGATTTAATCAAAATTAGCGGACTAAAATAAAAAATCAAGCTAACCATGGTGGATTCGGGCATATTTACGTTTTTTTACAATTTCAAATAAACTATAATATTTTCAATCACAAAATATATATACGAGAATTTTATAAAAATTAATTATGAACAAATAAATAAACTCACTCAAAACAAATAAACTCATCCTAATCATACATAGAGAGGTAGTGGTGGCAAACTAACAGCACTACCATGTGATTATGTTCTTTATATTTATATTTAAGTTTAAATCTGTAATTATGCGTTGGCCTTACCCCTACTCTACCCTACCCATTGGTTGCTGCATTGCACACAATTTGTTATTATATTAAAAAATAATAATATTATTTAGGTTAGTAGATTTATATAAAGATAGAAAAATACAAATTACTTTTGGATTACTTGAAGTGAAGATTGAAATGTGAGACTATTTAAGTAAATAAAAGTAAGAATAATGACCTAATGTTTCAATTCTAAGTACTATTTTTCACATGTTTATATTATTTTTTGGATAAGACCTATGTACAATTTTATTTAACATTTTTATTAGATGTATATGAGTATATTTTATTGAGTTGTAATTTAGAAAAGTATGTGAATATTTCTTTTAAAAAAAATATTTTTAATAAATTATACTATAATGTATTATTATATTTCAAATTCGTTCTAACTTATTAACATGTATTTGATTGTTTATCAAATCCTATGTGATCGATGAAATTTTGAAAGCGACTTTGAATTTGAAAAGAGTATTAAATTAAGTTAAATTGAAACAGCAATATAGGGTGTGTTTACTAACTAATTTAATAAATCAACATATTTTGGAAAATAATATCATTAATTCAATCAATTATTTTTTAAAAAATTTAGTAATATGATTAAATAGAAAGTCAGTATACATATTTATATATTAATAATAAAATAAATTAATCACTTATACAAATAGGGTGTGTTCACTTCACAAGATAATATTATAATACATCATTTTATTTTAATAGATTATATAATTATAACATTAATTAATATCATATTCACTTTATTTGGTTGAATATATGATTATATAAACTTTACTACAAATACTCCGAATGATAAATTAATCTCACACATTTAAGTTGATTAATTATACATATGATTAAAACAGATAAAATAATAATCACTCCGTCGTTACTTATACTTCATTTATAAATGGCAAAGATAATAATACTCATTCGATCATTAGTTACACTTCGTTTGTATATATATTTTTATTGATAATTAAATATCAATTAATTTATTATATTTATAATTTTTAAAAATTTTAATCTATATTATGTTTTTAATATAAAAATTATATAATAAAAAATAAAATAATTTACTTGTAATGTTTAATACTTTTAAGTTTAGAAAATAAAATATATTAGAATAATTAATAAATAATGTAATAAAAATATAATATATATGTAAAATGAATGATTAATTGTTAAAGCTAAATAAGAAAGAAAAAATGAAAATGAAAATATTATTTTAAAATGTTAGATAAATTATTTTTTTTTATAATTAAAAAAAAATTCAAAAAAATTAATTTATTAAACACTTAAATTAATAATATTGTTCGGAAAATTACAAATTTTTGAAAAAATTGTTTCTCAAACATTCTCATAATTTATACTCTCAATTTTACATATATAGAGTATTGTCTATTATGTGCTTAATTTATACTTCATCTTTCGTCCAATTAGAAAGTATACATATTTTTATTTTGGAACGTCCAATTACAAAGTAAATATTCATTAAATATCTTATTTTTTCTACAAACACCCCTATTTGTACATCACATCATTACTTTTACAAAAAAAAACAACAAAAAAATGTCACTACATTACTTTTAACTACTCACTATAATTAAAATACTATTATTTTTTAAATATTGTGCCAAAAGTAATTATTTATTTTATGTGTGGACGGAGAGATTATTATATTAATATAAACTTTATATTGTTTGTTTTAATTTGCATACATTACTAATTTATTATGTGATTGATTTACATTATATTAATACTTATACTATTTTTTATATATATATTATAGAAAAAATATTATTTTATTGGGAAACACGTATAATTTAAATTTAAATTTGTACTATTTGGTTTTATATGTATAAATTAAGAATTTTAATATAGTTGAAATAGCAAAAATTTTAAATTTGGTATTAAAAAAGCAAATTCTATATTAATATATTTTGTACTATTTGGTTTTATATGTATATATTAGGATATATTTATGTATTTGATTTATATTATATCAATTAATATATATTTTGCATTGTCCACTTTTATATGTATAGATTGCTATGTATTTGTACTGGATTTATATTATACTTCGTTTGTCATTTTGAAAGTTTATATTTATTTTTTGTGTGTTAATCTTTGAATAGTAATTATTATATTAAAATATAGTACAAATCAAGAAAAAATAACAAAAATATTCTACTAATGTCTTATAATAGTAATAGAATAACGTTTATAGAAAAAAAATTTAAAAAATTTTAATATTTAAGTACAATGACACTAAAAGTAAATATAAATATATTAATTGGACGAAAGAAGTATATATTAGTATATACTTTACATTGTTTGTTTTATCTGAATTGTCTATTATGTACTTAATTATATTATACTTCCTCCGTCCCATTAAAAGGTTATCACTTTCTATTTTTGTCCGTCCCAAAACAAAGTTATCGTGTCCAAATTTAGTAATTGTACTACCTACCTAACATAATAAATATCCTTTCAACTTACAATATATTACACAAATATCATTTCTTTTATATTACAGCATACTAATAGGAGTATTTTTGTTTTTTTTACTACAATTTAATATAATAGTACTAATATTAAAATATATACATGTAAAAAACAAATGTCACCCTTCCAATAGGACGGAAGAAGTATTAATATATATTTATATTGTATTTTTTATCTGGGTAAATTACTATTTACTATGTATTGAGTTTATATTATATAAATATATATTTTATATTGTATAAATTATTGTCTATTGCGTGCTTGATTTATATTATATAAGTATATATTTATACGGTTTGTTTTATTTGTACATATTACTATCTATTACGTGCTCGATTTATGAATATTTTATATTGTTTGTTTTTATCTGTATAGATTACTATTTACTATGCCTTTACTTTGTAATTGGACGTCTCAAAATAGAAATGTCTATACTTTCTACCTGGACGGAGAGAATATAAATATATAGTATTTTATATTGTATGTATTTGTATTTGTACGTATAAATTACTGTCTATTACGTGCTTGATTTATATTATATAAATATATATTTATACTGTTTGTTTTTATCGTCTGTACATATTACTGTCTATTACGTGTTCGATTTATGGAGTATTGTAGTAATATATATTTTACATTATTTTTTTTTATCTGTATAGATTACTACTTATTATGTGTTTAGTTTATATTATAAAAATATGTATTCATACTATTTATTTTTATTAGTACATATTATTGTCTAATACATACCTGATTTATAGAGTATAATAGTAATACATATTTTATATGATCTGTTTTTATTAGTATAGATTACTATTTACTATGTGTTTAATTTATATTATATAAATATATATATTTTTGTATGTGTAAATTACTATCTGTTTGATTTATATTACATAAATATGTATGTGCTTATATTGTTTGTTTTTTATATGTACATATTATTGTCTAATACATGCTTGATTTATGCAGTGTTATAGTAATATATATACTTTATATTTGTCTTTTTTTATTTTTTTATTTTTATTTATATAAAGTACTACTTACCATGTGTTTAGTTTATATTATATAAATATATATTTTATATAATCTGTTTTTTCACATATAAATTATTGTTTATTGTGTACTTGATTTATATTATATAAATATATACTTACACTATTTATTTTTATTTGTATATGTTCTTGTCTAATATATATTTGATTTATAGAGTATTGTATTAATATATATTTTTTATTGTTTGTTTTTATATATATAGATTACTAATTATTATGTGTTTAGTTTATATTATATAAATATATATTTTATATTGTATGTTTTTGTATGTATAAATTACTCTCTATTGTGTGCTTGATTTAATTGTTTTTATCTGTACAAATTACTATATAATACATGCTTGATTAATAGAGTATTGTAGTAATATATATTTTATATTGTATATATATTTTTTTGATCGGATTATATTGTATGTTTTTAAATGTATAGATTACCATATCTATTATGTGTTGAATTTATATTATATTAATATATATTTTATATTGTCAATTTTGTCTATATAAATTGTCTATTGAGTATTTGATTTATATTACATGAACATGTATTTATACTGTTTGTTTTTATCTGTATATATTACTGTCTATTACATACTTGATTTATAGAGTATTATAGTGATACATATTTTATATTGTCTGTTTTTATATATATATATATAAATTATTGTCTATTATATGTTTGATTTGTATTATATTAATATATTGTCTATACACTCTGTTTTTACTTGTATATATTTTATATTGTCCGTACAGATTATTGGTTATTATGTGTTTGATTTATATTATCGATTTCTAGTTGTATAGGTTACTGTCTATTATGTGTTTGATTCATATTATATTGATATATATTTTATATTGTTTATGTTCACTGTAAAGTGTACTTGTTTAATCTTTTGATTTGAATCATGTGATGTGATAATTTAAAAAAATTAACAAATTGATTATTATTTGTTAAAAGAAACATAGTAAAATTATGAATGAATGAATAAATTTATCTTTTAAGAATAAAGTATGCATAAATTTAACAGATAATTTAAAAAAAAAACTAAATATAGATGAAAAAATATATCTTATTAAGAGCATCAGTTATAGTCATTACTTTTACCCCATTGTCTATTTTATCTCTCTCATCCACGTTATATTTATTTTAACATTCTAATTATTTCATTTATCAACCATTATAGTAAATTACGTCTAACACATTATCTTTATTATTTTATAAATTCACAATAATTTATTTATTTATATATATATTTTTATTATGTAATATAATATATAAAAAATTTATTTAAAATACATATTTCTATATATTTTTATTATCCAATAATATTTTTATATAATACTAGTATTATATATTAACTTTTAAAATATTAATCTATATAAATTTTTATAACTGAAATTATTCGAAATAAATCAAAATATATATTAATTAAAATAACATAAAAAAGAATTGTAATATATATAATATAAATGTATAAAATAAATATATTAATAATATAAATTAAGAATTATTATTTTTATTGTCAAATCGTATTTAACTATTTAATTTAAGCACCGATTGAAAAGAAAATATTTTTACTAGCTATTTTGTTTAATTAAATATTAAAATGTAGAGAATTAGTTCATAAAATTTAAATATATTTATAGATAATTTATGTTAAATTTAAATTTAAAAAATTTGAAATTTAAAATTTTTTTGGATAATTTTTAATTTATTGTTGAAAGTAATGAATTCTTGATAAATGTAATAAATTTTGATAACTGTCTTTTTTATTAAAAATATTGAGTTATGTTATTATAGAAGCTGAAAAAATATAACGAAAGAGATGAATTTAACAAATACTCTAATATTTAAAAAGAATTGTATCAATAGAAAATTATTTGAATGAATAAATCAATATAGATTATACATTATTTACTTGATTTATTATTATATTAAGAGTATATATTTCATATTGTATATTTTAATCTTATATTGCGTTAATTTATACTTTTATATGTTATTAAGACTATCAATTAATAACTTACTTGCCGCATAGTAAGGGGATTATCGATTATCTGATTTATGCCTCCACTTTCTACGGACTTACTTGAGACTTGAAACGTTATACTAAGAAATATATATTTATATTATAATAATATTTTATTATATTAATGAATAATTTATAGGTATTATATATATATATATATATATATACGTGTGTGGTGTTACAAATAGAAAATAGAGAGACACTGACAGAGAAGAGACTTCTCGTACGCGCCGCCTAATTTTGCAGCCAGCGATACCCGATTCCTATTTCCCTCCCTCTCTGCAAATCCGCACCCCATCCGTCGGCATCTTCATCCTTTCTTTAGGGTTTTCAAGAGTTTTTTGGGGGGGAAATTCTTTCTTTCGAAATTCTACAATGTACCGTGCAGGCGGGTCCGCGTCGGACGGCCGTCGGAGTTCCAGTTTCGGCGGCTACCACCGTAGCCGCTTTAATCCGCCGCACCAGTACCACCAACAACGCCCGCCCCTCCGCTGCCTTCCGTACCAGCAGGACCATTGGAACCCTCACTACCGCGATCGCTCCCCCGCGCCCGCCCCGCCGCCTCCCCGGCCCAATTTCGCTGTCCACCTACGGTCCGACGCTCGCCACGCCGTCAAAGAGGCGGAGGCGGAAGCGGTTGTTCGGAGGCTAAAGTGTAAACCGCAGAAATCGGATTTTGTGTCGTCGAATTTTGTTTGCGGGAAACTTTTCTACGAACAGTGGAGCGAGGTGCTGGAGACCGTGGTTCAGTTGTGGGAATTCAAATTGAACGACGCGGAGCTTCGATTTTGGCCTAGGGTTGTGAGCAACATCCAATTGCCTTCTGATAAGTCCGAATTGGACGATCGATTGAAGGTGTTGTTTCTGGAGAAATTGAAGGGTTTGAAAAAGGGGGATTTGGTGGATAAGTGGGAGGAGAAAGTGAGGACATTAAGGGACGAGATAAGCCGTCTTGTAGCCCTGTTGCGAAAGGGGCAGAGGTTACGGTATGCTAATGAGATTTGGAGGAAGAAGCAGGGTTTGGTTGATGAGAAAGAGTTGATCGTGAATCGACTGCAGGAGTTCCAAACTGGCATTAGCTGTATTGAGAATTATATAGTGAGCGAGGGGAAGACTGAAGTCAGGGAGGTTTTCGAATTTCCTGAAGCGGAGATTGAGTGGGAGAGGGTGTATAAGTTGATGATGAGGGAATGCAGGAGGCTTGATGATGGACTGCCGATTTACACTCATCGTCAGGCCATCCTTAGGACAGTTCGTAGCCAACAGGTTGCTTGTTATTACTATAGCTTTTCGATGTTATCTATGTGTTTTAACTGTAGCAGAGCTCTCTGATTGGTAATGTTTTGGCTCTTCAGGGTAGGTGCTTTTAACTATTTTTGTTGCATTTGATCATGTCAGGCAAAGTTGAGGTTTTTGTTATTTTGTGTTTCATGTTTTGTGTGATTAGATAATGGCATTGGAAATTTTGTTTCGGTGAGTTTGTTTTGGTGTTTTGATCATTGTGCTCTGTCTAGTTACTTAGAATAGGATTCGAAGAGGATTTAACTGCTGCTTTGCATCTGATTATGTGAAATAGAGTCGAAAGATGGATTTATGCGCCATTTGTTACAACAAAATTGTCAGAATTGAGGCAGGAAATATCCTCGGACAGAAGAATAAAATATTATCGGTCATGTAGGTTTAGTGTTGCATTTTATGTTTGCACAAATTGGGAAGGTTATATCGTAAAAGGTTTTTGGGGAAGTCTTGAAATTGATTTATGAATGAAGGGTCAGTCAGTGGTGTTTTACTTTTTACAATTTTGTGACTGCCGTAGACATTTCCAGCTTCTTCCATTTGACAAAACATGTTATACGGCTTTCTATTTAAGAATGTAATAATTGTTTTATACTGTGACAGGTCACAGTTCTGATAGGCGAGACTGGTTCTGGGAAAAGTACACAGTTAGTTCAATTTCTTGCTGATTCTGGAGTTTCGGGAAATGAGTGTATTGTTTGTACTCAGCCCCGTAAACTTGCTGCCATCTCACTCTCAGAAAGGGTTAAAGAGGAAAGCCTTGGTTGCTACAGAGACAGCGCTTCAGTAACCTGTTATCCATCGTATTCGAGTTTTGATGATTTTGAGTCCAAAGTGATATTCATGACTGATCACTGCCTGTTGCAACATTACATGAGCGATAAGAAGTTATCCAGGATTTCATTCATTATCATCGATGAGGCTCATGAAAGAAGCTTGAATACGGATCTACTTCTGGCACTGATCAAGAATTTGCTGTGCCAGAGGTCAAATCTGAGACTCATCATTATGTCTGCAACTGCTGATTCAGATCAATTAGCAAAGTACTTCTTTGGCTGCCAAACTTTGCACGTGGCTGGTAGAAATTTCCCTGTCGATGTTAAATATATGCCTGGTGATTCTGATGGATTTTCAAGATTGGTGTCGGGATCAGGATCAATACCTTCGTATGTTCTTGACGTTCTAAAGACAGCGACTGAGATCAACAGAACTGAGAAGGAAGGCACTATTCTTTCGTTCTTGACATCTCAAGCAGAAGTAGAATGGGCTTGTGACAATTTTAAAGGTTCTTCGGCTATCGCATTGCCTTTGCATGGAAAACTTTCTTATGAGGAGCAACATCGAGTATTTATGTCATACCCAGGAAAAAGGAAAGTTATCTTTGCCACCAATGTTGCTGAAACATCATTGACTATTCCTGGTGTGAAGTATGTGATTGATCCGGGTATGGTTAAGGAGAGCAGGTACGAACCTGCTACGGGCATGAATATTCTGAGGGTTTCTTGGATCAGTCAAAGCTCTGCAAATCAACGAGCTGGAAGGGCTGGAAGAACCGAACCAGGGACATGTTATAGGCTCTACTCAAAGAGTGATTTTGATTTGATGTTACCTCATCACGAACCGGAAATTTACAAGGTTCATCTTGGTGTTGCAGTTTTGAAAATTCTAGCATTGGGTGCTAATGACGTGCAGGATTTTGACTTTGTCAATGCCCCGAGTGCTGATGCTATCAATATGGCTGTACAAAATCTCATTCAGTTAGGAGCCATTTCCATGAAGAACAATGCTTTTGAATTAAGTGTAGAAGGACGGGACATGGTAAAGTTGGGCATTGAGCCTAGGCTTGGGAAAATAATTCTGCAGTGCTTCCGTTATCGCTTGGGTCGAGAGGGTCTTGCTCTTGCTACAGTGATGGCGAATTCAGGCAACATATTTTCCCGAGTTGGAACTCAAGAAGATAAGCTGAAATCTGATTGCCTAAAGGTGCATTTTTGTCATCCCAATGGCGATCTCTTCACAATGCTCGCCGTCTATAAGGAGTGGGAGTCTGTCCCGAGAGAAAAGAAGAACATCTGGTGTTGGGAAAATAGTATCAATGCAAAGTCCATGAGGAGATGCCAGGACACTATCCTGGAGCTCGAATCCATTCTTAGAAATGATTTACATGTCATTGTGCCGAGTTATTGGCGTTGGAACCCCCAAGAGCGAACCGGACATGATAAGAAGTTGAAAGATGTGATACTCTCTTCGCTGCCCGAAAATTTGGCTATGTACTCAGGCTATGACCAGCTTGGTTATGAGGTGGCGTTCACGAAGAAGCATGTCCAGCTGCATCCATCGTGCTCCTTGCTAAATTTTGGTCAGAGGCCAGACTGGGTGGTATTTGGGGACATGCTGTCAGTGTCGAATGACTTCCTTGTCTGTGTCACTGCATGTGATTTTGAAAGTTTTTCGACCCTTAATCCTCCTCTATCATTTGATTTCTTACAAATGGAGAGTCAGCGTCTGCAGAGAAGGATTTTATCTGGTTTTGGAACCATTCTACTGAAAAAGTTTTGTGGTAAAGCAAATAACAATTTACGGTTCCTTGTTTCAGCTATAAGAGCATCGTGTGTGGATGAACGGATAGGTGTGGAAGTTAATGTCGAGCAGAATGAGGTGATTGTGTATGCTTCTTCTCGAGACCTGGAAAAAGTGTGCGGGATGGTGAATGAAGGATTGGAGTACGAAAAGAAGTTGTTGCAGAATGAATGCATGGAAAAATGCTTGTACAATGGGGGACCTACTGGCTTACCCCCAATTGCCCTTTTTGGATCAGGCGCGGAAATAAGACACCTCGAACTTCAGAAGAGAAATTTGACTGTTGAGATATTCCATTCAAATTCCGACGTGCTTGACGACAGGGAGCTCATCTGTTTTCTCGAGAAGTTCACCTCTGGCCAGATCTGCTCTGTCAGCAAGTTCGCAAGTTACGGTCCCGACAATGAAGAGAAGGGCAAGTGGGGCCGAGTGACGTTCCTCACTCCTGATGCTGCCAAGAAGGCTGTTGAGCTGGTTGATTTCGAGTTTTGTAGTGGATTATTGAAGGTAGACTTTTCAAGGAATATTTATGCTGGTGATCACAAGATGGCGTCGACTCCTTCCCTCAGAGCTAAAATTTCTTGGCCTCGAAAGTTTAGCAAAGGGGTTGCCATCATAAAGTGTAAACAGAATGACATTGCAGCAATGGTTCATGATTTTTCTAATCTCGAAATTGGAGGTAGGCTTGTATGGTGCGAGCCTAGTGTGAAGTTTTCTGACAGTGTCGTTATCACTGGGCTCAACCGTCACCTTTCTGAGACCGATATATACCCGATACTAAGCTCGGCAACAAGCAGGGAGATCACAGACTTATTTATCGTAAGAGGAAATGCAGTTGAAGGTCCTTCAGTTGCTAGTTGTGAAGAAGCAATTCTGCGTGAGATTTCTCCTTTTGTACCCAGACGGAATGCGCAGGGTAATCCTGTACGTGTTCAGGTATTCCCCCCAGAACCGAAGGATACTTTCATGAGAGCCCTGATCATCTTCGATGGAAGTTTACATTTGGAAGCAGCTAAGGCTCTGGAGCAGATTGATGGGAAAGCGTTGGCTGGATGTCAGCCATGGCAGAAAATACAATGCCAGCATTCGTTCAATAGCTCTGTGTCTTGTCCTGGTGCTGTCTATCCCGTTATCAGGAAAGAGCTCGAGTCTTTGATTAGAACACTCCAGCGGCGGAAAGGTATTTAATTTCTTTCTTTTAAAGGCTTCTCGCAAATATTTCCTTTCGAAACATGTTATACTCGATCTGCTGAGCCTTGTTTTTGTGCTATGTTTTGTCTTGATTATTTGCCTAAAATTGTTTCGACTGATTATGAGATATAGTCGGAAACTTTGAGGAAACATAGATAGAAATAATTCTAAAATATGGAAACTCCCTAAATTGTTCGAATTACTTGCAAGAGTAGTGTAATTGGTTAGATACGGTTATTGAGTACTTGCACAGAATCTTCATCATCGAACTCTTACTTGTAGAAGTAAATATTTGGAGCATTTATTCGAATGGGAGGGGCTTTATAGTTTGATTACTCTTTCTGCTGCAGTGCTTTTACCTGTTGTGTCTGCCTGCGTTCTCCTCTCGATTTTCTTTAGTACCGTGAAATATACATGGTTGAACATCTATTGTATTTTTTATGGATTCATTCATCGGTAGCTGGTTTTGGTCGTTATTTTTGCAGGTGTCGATTGTCATCTTGAAAGAAACCATAACGGTTTTTACCGAGTGAAGGTATCTGCTTGTGCTACAAAAATTGTGGCGGAGTTGAGACGACCTCTGGAAAATCTCATGAAAGGTCACGTCGTACAACATCCCGACGTCACGCCTGCGGTCCTCCAGCATCTTTTCTCTCGAGATGGGATCATACTCATGAAATCCATCAGCCGTGAAACCGATACGTATGTCATGTTCGATAAGCACAGTTTGCTAGTCAGACTCTTTGGTCCGCCGGAGAAGGTCAACCGGGCACAACCGATCTTCATCAAGGCCCTTCTCGCGCTGCACGACAGCAAGCAGCTCGAAATCCAACTTCGTCGCAGAACTCTACCTCCGGACATGATGAAGAGAGTCGTTCAAAGTTTCGGTCCCGACCTTCGCGGACTCAAAGAAAAGGTTCCCGAAGCAGAATTCTGTTTGAACATAAAACGACACAGCATATCTATAACCGGTCCAAAGGATTCGAAGCAGAAGGTTGAAGAAATTGTCCACGATCTTGCACGGGCGAGCGGCCAAGAAACTCTTGCGAACGACGATAGCGACGATGCGACATGCCCTGTTTGTTTGTGCGACGTCGAGGATCCGTTTCTGCTCGCCGCATGCTCCCACAGCTTCTGCCGATCATGTCTAATTGAGCAGTGTGAGTCCGCCATTAAAAGCCACGATAGTTTCCCGTTAAGGTGCGCGAAAGAGGGCTGCGGCTGCCGTATCTTAATCACCGACCTGAGGTCGTTGCTCTCGTGCGAAAAACTCGAGGAGCTTTTCCAGGCTTCGCTTGGGACGTACGTGGCGGGAAGTCAAGGCGTCTACCGGTTCTGCCCGTCGCCGGACTGCCCGTCGGTTTACCGTGTTCTGGGCCCGGAGGAGCCGGCTGCCCCGTTCCTCTGCGGCGCCTGCTTTGTGGAGACGTGCACGCGGTGCCATTTGGAGTATCACCCGGATTTGTCGTGCGAGAAGTACCGTGAGTACAAAGACGACCCGGACTCGTCATTGAAGGAGTGGTGCATGGGGAAGGAGCACGTGAAGGTGTGTCCGAGCTGCGGGTTGACGATCGAGAAGATCGACGGGTGCAACCACATCGAGTGCCTGTGCGGGAGGCACGTGTGTTGGGTGTGCTTGGAGACGTTCGGGTGCAGCGACAGTTGTTATGGACATTTGCGATCCGTGCACCTTGCGGAGTTGTACTAAGAAGAGCGAGCGAGCGAGCGATGATTTATATATATATATATTGTGTGTATAAATTCCCTGAGATGGATCCGGCACTCAGTTAGAATGATAAGTATTGTCGAGGACTAGATGGGTGGTGGAACTGATGTATTGTCGAGGACTAGATGGGTGGTGGTACTTATTAATCAAGAGTGTCATTGTATAGGTCTCACCAAACTATACGATACTCTCTACTTATTGCCAATAAATAGAAAGAGCAGAGCAATACGTGAAAAGTATAAAGACTGTCTTTCAGATTGATTAAAGACAGGTAAATAGAAAGAAAACATATATATGATTAACAAGTAACAGCGACTTGCCGAATTGGTTTCAAAATCTAGTCTGATTCAATATACTTGAAGATGAAAAGTATCGATTGTAAATAGAAATATATATTTAAAAAATAAAGTGAAATAATAGTTAGATTGATCTTTTGTATGATGTTTATGTTTTTTTTTTTGTTTTTGACATGGAATTCGGTCTAGGCTGAGAAATTATGTGTGACATTTAAGATAAATGATTTTATATTCAACCATTACACCATAGATTATATAATAATATAACAAACAACATAGGCTATTATCATAAAAAATACACAAGGATTAATATAATTATAAACAAACACATGAAATTGATATTATATATATTTACACAACTTATGCTATTTGTCATAAAAACATGATAGCATATGACAAACAAAAACTTCTATATGCCATATTCAAAATATGATACTCCCTGCTTTACGTATTATCGTAGACACGAGAATTTACGTAAAGTATAATTAGTAAGTAATTAATAAATATATTAGTAAAAATAATTATAGATTAAGATTAAAATAACAAAATAGTTTAATTTAGATTAAAAAAAATTAAATTTTAAATTTTAAAATATAATTAAAATGTATAATTAATTTTCCAAAAAAAGAAAGACAAATTATGTAGGACGAACGAAAATACAAAATATGAACAAATTATATGAGACGGATAGTATTATAATTGGCATTTGAAATAACAAACTTCCCTATTTTCTTCTTGTTTTCATCCCAATCCCAATGTTGTTGTATCAAGGAGAATCACTAAGGTAGCCATATGATAATACACACAAACATCATATCATATCATATCCCACAATCATCCAATTGTATATTTAAATATTTGGACACAAGTTTTACTAAAAATAAATAATAATTATCATTTTTTACTTTTTTCATAGTAAAAATTATAAAAAATTAAATTAAATTAATAACTCAAAAAATATATATAAATTTGAATGAGAAAAAAAATGTAATATACACATTAACAAAATGACATAATATGGAGTACAATATTACACAAAACTTCTCCAAATATTCTCGTATTTACAATAAAGTGTATAGTTCGTATCGATTGTGTTTGAATCTTTTTATTTTTTTAATTATTCCAATTTTAATCTGTCAAATCAAAAAAAAATTTATTTTCATTTTTTGTAAAATAATTTAACAAAATATTAAAATATTCATATTTTTTACTAACATATCAAAATTAAATTAAATATTACATTAGTATGAACAAAAAAAGTATATATAATTACACAAAAATTACAACATAAATATGGAGTACAATATATAATTACAATAAATACAACTACCAATATCTACAAACATTAAAAAGAAACAATTAAATACTTTTTTATTATTATTTTAAAATTTCCAATATAGTACTATAATTTAATTTTATTGAAAAATATTTGAAATTAATATGTAAATCAATAAAAATTGAATAAAAATAATATAATTGTTTTAAATATATATATATATACACGTGTGTGTGAATTTTTTTTTAAAAAAAGTAGAATGAGCTGAAATAGAGTTAAAATTATAAAAAAAAAACTAAAAAAATAGAGACATCGATTGAAATAGTTTAATGCACGCATGGCTGATACATTTTTCCCACACTATATAGCTAGCCAATATTTCATCATTGTAGTCCCCGTCCCGCCTGTAGTTGGTGTGGACTCGGACTTGTTAACGTTAGATTATAGTTCAACTCTCCACGTCTCCAGATCTCAGCTCCACATATGATTGCCTAGAGTTTGCAGGAGGTTATATAACAAAAAACATAAAAAATTCATTATTGTATTCCAGATCTACTAGAAGAACTTCACAATCTCGGTTAATCACTTAAAATCTAGTATGATTAGTATTATAGTTTAAGACCAAAATGTAATTAAAAAAAATATCACTCCAAAAATTTAGAAAGATAAATAGAGTCGTCTAGAGTGAGACTGCTGGAGTGCAGAACAATACAACATCAAATAGAGAGTATCGGAAGATGTATTCCGGCATCAGATAATTACTCCAGACGTTAAACCCTCCACAGCACAAATTTCGACCAAGTTAGATTTAAAAATCACAAAAATATTAAATTATAATAAAATCAAACTATAATTCAAACATTTGAGATGGATTTAGTAGAGAGGCATCGGAGGACGACGCTCCTCTGTGGATCCATCCCAGCGGTTGTCTGGCCGCCGCTGATTCACTCAGCTTTCTATTTCCGCACCGTTGCTCAAAGGTTGCTCCATTTTTGTTTTTACTCTTTGCGAGTATGGTAGCAGCCTCTGCGCATGGTGCAATTCCAACATAAAAACTTAACATCGAGAGATTAAAAGAAGCAAACGAATAGAATAACAGCGTGCAAGCAATTCTGCCGCTTCCGAAAGCACTGTAAAACCCTAGCTCTGATACATGAACATTTTTGGTCTATAAATAGCTGTGGAGTTGCGTGGTGGGCTCAAATTTGGGCCTTGGCCCATCGAAAAAATAAATTTGCAGAATTCAATTTATGTATTTTTATAAACCTTTTTTTGCCTATTAAGTCTGCTTATTTATGTATTTATATAATCATTCTGTCTTATTTTTCTTTTCTATCTGTCCGATTAATTTAATCAATTACAATTATTTTAAAAAAAAATTCAAAATTTCAAAATTTAATTATTATCATCTATTCAAACCCATTTATTACGATCATCATTGTTAATTACTAGTTAAATATTCAAAATACATATTTTATTTAATATGTAAAAATATTATGTTTTTAATTACTTATAATTCATTTAAAGAATTGTATTTGGTGACAATTAAGAAAAATGCACAAAAAAAAAAAAAAAAAATTAGTTCATTTTAACTGATTATATATATAATAAATAATTGATATTTATTTCTATATTGAATTCTCTAAAAAAATATGTGTATATATATACTATATTATATAGATTTTTAAACAGCATTGCAAGAAAGGTCAAGTTATAAATTAGGTCTACACACACAGATTCTCTTCATACCCCACCATATTTTGCACTGGAGTTCATAAAATATTTTCACCATATTTCAACCAAGTGAATTAGGCAAATTTCTTGGAGCCAGGGTAGGGTAATACAAATTTTGTGCATATTGACATGACATAATTGAATTTGAAACTGATCAGAATCACAGACAAAATAAACCAATCCAACAAATGAGTCACTCCTCTATATTGCAAAAAATGGATGTCAGTTCATGTAGAAGAAGAAGTAATATTAAAGAACAAGAACAAGAACACGAATCACACACACCATTGATTGATCAACAGAGGCAGGCTGGCATGCATGCATCCATCATTGAGAAAAATACACAAGTAAAAACAGATGGATCATTGCAAACTATGTACTTCACAGTAGGGTGGGTACCTGGTTGAGGCTCAATCGTTTACACAGAATGGACACCACAATATTGCTGGGTTTCGTGCAAGCATTTCACTGCTCCGGCATAATCCAGAAAGCCCATAAACCAAAATTCGTGGTCGTCCACAGATATAACCTGGATGTATTTTTCAGCAGAATTTGTTTTACTTGCAGTTGTGTTGACGGCCTTGAGTTGATGCAGTGGAATCACAATCTGTTACAAGATAATAATCAAATACCTTTTGCATGTTAGACACACACATCACAGTGCCCGCTAGTTTAACTGTTGATATTGGACATACACACTTATCTACACCTACAGTCGAATATTTTAACAAATGTTGGCAGTCACGGAAAGAATAGCATGTGAGAAACCTTGTAGCTACAAAAAGTGAGAGACTGTAACACAGATATATTTGAAATTAAACATTTGGATTCGAATGTTAGAGATCGCCACAAAAAGTCTTAGATGTGAGATGCCATTGTTGAAGAGATCTTTAAGATGTTACAGAATAACAGGTGCACATTCATAATTAGAATTAACATGGTTTGAAATTAAGAAGCTTAATAAGGAATTCAGTTCAGATTTGGTAACTCATGTGAAACCAGTTTTTGGATAAATTTAATTGTCAAACATTACATGCAAAATAAAAGATAAAAATCAAAACAAAAACAAAAACAAAAACAAAACCAAATAATTGCTTAGAAGATACAGAATCTGGCACACAAAAATTGATGCCAATAAGCTATAAACATGATTTGGCTGGTTGGCCATGAGAACAGGAAAGATGAAGACAAGCAATACATGGGTTAGAAAGGTTGACTAGAAAACAGGAATATCTGTATCATATCCAAGTAATGTTCATCGAGTGTTCTTAATAAGGCACAACTTATATAAATATTGTGTTCCAACTTGCACAGGTCAAATTGAAACCAATGTAAGTGTATGTGTGTGTGTGAGCATGCATATGTATATTATCCTTACTACGAAGCACTTTCTAACATACCTTATAATAGCTCCAGTCATTTTTATCAGCAGCTTGATAGGAAAGTGGGTTATCGCTGCAAAATGCTAGCATTGCTGTGGAGACATACAAAACTCCCATGACAGGACCAACAGATGTGGACAGGTAGCTTGCGAATGCATCTATCAGTTGTTCATCAGGATCTGTCTCAAATGTTTGCCGGAATATTTTTTCATAACCACCTTCAGTTAGGACCTTCGTTCCTTGTGCAATTCTTCCTAGGGCAGCATCAGTTAAACTTGGGCTTGTTTTCACTAACTTGACCAAAAGAGAAGTAATCCATAAGGAGATTTGAGAAACTGTGTTACACTCAACCAATTGAATAATAACAGAGACGATGGCAAGAGTAGAAAAAAAATCCCCATATCAACCATGACTAAAGAGGGACGTAACAGGGCCCTTTCATAAAGAGAGATGAAAAATTTACAGAACATGTTGAAGCAAATGCTATAACAAGCTCGGCTAGACCTGCAACTTGTGAACAAGTCTTGGAAATATGGAGTAGGAACATATATGGAATAAATATATATTCCAATATAAGTAGTTTTGTAGTCTGCTCCTATATCCTTGTTCTAGTTTAAATATATACATATATATATATATATGAAGTTGAAATGAGCAAGTGTGAGAACTAGCTCTTCGTAGTATGCTGGGTAGGAAAAAGAACTTCTCAGAATTAAAAAATTTATTGAATAACACACACAACGTTTAAGATATATTATTGCTCCATTACCAACTAAATATTCATAGGCATACTAGTAAGACAACTCAAACAACTAAGCAAGAGTCAGGATTCATCACTCTTATTAATCATTGCCAAACATACAAAAAAACTTGTGAGGAAAAACAAAAATGAAGACAGAAAACAATGGAGAACTGATAGCTCACAGTGTTGCCAAGTGTTGCCTGCAAGATCCTCAGCCCGCCTTGTAGCTTCTCCCACTCTTTTCCTCCATCTTCCCAGCATATCCTTCACACTATCCATTGTATCTAACAAAGAAAATAAACTCTTTGTACACCATTATGACACATGTTTGGTGCTTGAATGCTTGTACATTATACCTATTAGTGCTACTCAACCAAGTCACAACGTTATTTCAAAGAAACTGCCAACAAATTCTAGACCAACAAAGAAAACCCATAATTTGATCCATCAAATCAATTAAATAATTTATGCTATTTTGAAATTGAAGACTCGGACATGCTGGTGGTTCTTTCCACTCGAACTCGGGCCTCTGAGTTTACTCTCTTCCTTTGCTTTTTCTTCCATAATCTGTGTGTTTCCTTTTCTCTTTACTTAGTTCAGCTTAAAATCCTTTTCAGTCGTCTTTTATTGAATTGAATATATTAACTAGCCTATTAGTTACACTTACGGAAAAATAATGAACACACCTAAAGAAATTGGTATGCTATGAAATAATTGTCCACAGTCCACACTCATCTCCAATATTTACCTGCAACTTATACTAAACAATGGCCGGCGTCTCCAATTCAGAAAACTGCACAATTCTAATAGTTTCTTACTCGTGCACTTCGAAACAAATATTGTATCACGAAATGATCATCGAGTAACGAACACATTAAATGAGGCTGTTGCTAAGTAATTTAACTTTAGCTCAGGAAATTAAAACGTATATAAAACTATCGAATCGAAACCACAAAGGAAACAAAGAATCTAAGTAGAAAACTATAACCGTGCGGAAAACACCAATTATACCTCTGAAATTGAAGGACGAAGAGGAATTGGCGGAAGGAGACGGTGAGTGACTGACGTAAGGATTAGCGGATCGGTGATCGAAATCCCTGGGGAACGGCGGCGATTCCATGGTGGCGAGTCTCGGCGTTTCAGTTGCCGCGATCCTCTCCAACGCAGTGCAAATGCATTTGCTCTTCAGCGTGTTTAGTGGTAAAACTCACGAATTCTCTTTCCCACAAAAACTGTTTCAAAGTGTGCGTTCACTGAAAACTGTTTCAAATATTGAACATCGGACAGTTTATTTTATATTTTCCATACTATAATAAATATTAAAATTATAAAATATTGGGCTTTTATAATTGGCAGACGTATCTGTTAATGTATTTGATGGGCTCTTGGGCTAATGACTTATTTACGTTGTGCTTATGGGCCTTGGCCCACTCAATACCGATTCCGGAGTATTACAATGAAGTTCATACATCTAAATTAAGAATTGATTTTATAAATATTAATTTAAAATTTTAAAACAAGAAATTACATTTTATATATTAAATAGAAATCAGTAGATATGGATAATATTTTGAATATAAAATATAGTTAATTTAATATTTTTAAAATGCAACTAAAAAGATTAATGTGGTTTTGGATGGACCAAGTTAAAATCGACTGAGCCGATATGGCCCTAGACAGGTTTGGCCCACTAGACAAATTAACACAGATCAATGATATGTAGTCTATGGCTATAGATTTTTTATATACTATTAAATTTAATAGTATAATCTATTAAATAAAAATTTGGTGGTAGATATAACATAATAATAAAAGATATTTTATTTACTATTACAATTAGTAAATTAAAAAAAATATAATAATATTTTTATTATTAATGATTGATATTGATAAAATCTAAGCTGTTTCAATTTTCAAAACTGACAGTGTATAAGTTTGTGCCAGATATTCTGAAATATTTAAAATTTCAACTTTTAAAATAAAATTTTTGAATAATATATTTTTTATTGTAAAATTAGTGTTAGATAATATATTTTAATTAAATAATTAATATTTAATTTAATATTTAAAAAAAAAAAGAAGCAATTGTTGTTAACAAGTATATTGGGCTATTTTTATTTTTTATTATTTTTTCCTAAAATTATTAAATTTAATATATAATTTTCATTTTTTAAAATATCTTATTTATTTATTTATTTTTATCATACTATCACATCAACAAATCATTTAAAATTCAAATTTAAAAACCCAAAATTCAAATGAATGCACGTATACATAAATATAATCAGCTCATTATTATTATTATGTTATATAAAATTAGTGATTGACTATTATACTTGAGACATTGAAGAGATATTACAATATTAATTTAAAATTTTGAAATAAAAGATTTAAATATTGCTATATTATAAATATACATTTTGTTATATACAATATTTTAAATATAAAATATATATTTAATTTAATATTTTAAAAAATAAATCAAATATATTTTTTTTTTGAAAAAAATACAAATAAATATTCATTCTTTTTCAGTTATCTAGATTGAAACAATCTTGAACCATCATAATTATTGGATCCAAATAGAACACATATTAAACCACAAGCTTGAATTCTTATCAGATGTGGTCACAAAAAAAATTGAATAATGTTGATTCGGGTTTGGATTAAGTCTAATCTACTATAGTGTTTCGTACTAACTGTTGTAAATATTTATTTAGATATATATATTTAAATTTGTTGAATTTCACATTTGTAATAAAAAAAATTAATATAATCTTTTAGAAAAAAGCTATGAAGTATATAATATTTTAAATAAAAACATATGTTTTATTTTATATTTTAATCTATAAATAAAATAATTAAGAAAACATAAATAAATATAACAATATCTTTTTATTATTAGTTATTGATATTGGTAAAATCTAAGCTGTTACAATTTTCAAAGCTGATATCATACTATTTTCTATCAGAGTTATTTTTAAATATTTTAAATTTCAAATAAGGTAATTTTTTGATATCAACTTTCAAATATTATAATAAATATTTAATATAAATTAAAATATTGGACATCCAAAGATTCAATATGAAAGATATTTTGGCATATGCTAAGAATTGGGGCATAAAGAAAAGAGTAGTGTTAATTTTGGTTGAAGCATTGGAAGAATTTGATAGACAATGGATATATATTGACATTAATCAAGACAAGTTAAAGTTGAAGAAATTTTCGATGATAATTTTTAGTTGGACATACATTAGGAATTGATGTTCTTACGATTCAACAAAGTGAGAAAATTGTTGAAAAACATAGAAATGATATATTAAAAAAACCCGATGATTAATGTTAACACTATTATGACATATATTATTATATTATAATTTATTAAACATATTTAATTTTTTTAAAAAATTATAAATTAATTTTTAGAAATATTTTATATCTCATTCTTATTATTTTATATTTCATTAATTAAAAGTATTAAAATAAATCAAATTATTTAAAATAAAATACTAAATAAAAATTATTATTATATTTCTATAAAATAATTCTAATATATTTTAGTGTAATATTTATCAAAACAAAATATTATAGGTACTTGAACAAACATTTTTTAAAAATGAAGCTAAAAAGAAGAAAAAAATTATCTAAAGTTTGTATTAAATTAAATAAAATAACATCCTATAAATAGTTACTGTTATGCCGAACTTTAACTATCAAAAACCTACATTGGATTAGGATATGTAATAATATCATTATTTTATCTATTTAAATTTAATTTAGTAAGGGCAACAACAATATATAAATTATATTCCCTCGTAAAAATAAACTATTTTATATAAATATTTTCAAAATCATCCTATATTAAACTAAATAATATTTTTAAAAACACATTTTTTTTTATATAAAAACATTTTACTTACAAATAATAAATTAAAACAAAAATCAAATAGTATAACAATTTTTTAATTATTCACTGTTAAAATTAATAAAATTAAATTTGGTTCGATTTTCAAAACTGGCATCACTATTTTGTATCAGAGATATTTTCAATATTTTAAAATTTAATATAAAAATTATGATTATTATGTTTTTAAAAATATAAGTTAATGTCAGATATAATTGTGTCAGATATATTTTTCAAATATTTTAAATTTTAAAATAAAATTTGTAAATTTAATTGTATTTTAAAGAATAAATAAATAAAAAAAAAGACAAAACATACAAATTAATATAACATTATTATCAATTTAAATTCCAATTCAAGATAATTTTTTAAGAATTGTTAAGATATATATAGGTTATATCATGTTTGGGTTAGATCTAATTATAATTAAATCCAATTAAATATTAGGTCTAATCTAATAGTTATCGAGTCGGATCATGTATGTATGATTTCAAATACAATCAAAGTTGATTCAAATACTATATCTAATTAACATCCATTCGAGCATGACGTCGAGTTCTAACATACTCAATCCATTCACATTCCTACGTGGAATAAGATATTTGAATTCTAAATCAAATTTGATTGTATTTGAATATGTCTACAAAACAATTTTATATAAATATTATTTAAAGCTTTCTATATTTAATATAGAAAAACCTATTAAACTAAAAATATTTTAAAAAACAAACATATTTTTTTTAAAAAAAAAAAACTTAATATTTTAAATAATAAATTAAAATAAGAACTAATTAATATAGCAATTATTTAATTATTCATTGTTAAAATTAATAAAGCATAGTTTAGTTCAATTTTCAAAACTGACGTCAAAACTGTTTTGTGACAAAGATATTTTTAAATATATTAAAATTTAATATAAAAATTGTGATAATTGTATTTTTAAATGTAAATTAGTGTCAGGTATAATTGTGTCAGAGATATTTTCAAATACTTTAAATTTTAAGATAAAATTTATGAATTTAATAGTATTTTAAATAGTAAATAAAAATAAAATATACAAATAATAGTATATTACTATTATAGGTTAGAGTTGATAAAATTCATTTGTTACCGTGATTTGCGTATAAAAATATCAATTCAAAATTTTTAAGAATTGTTAAGATATTTCGGATATATCATGTATATCTTGGGTTAGATTCAACTATAATCGAATCCAATTCAAATAGTAGGTCTAATTTAATATTTACCAAGTCCGATCATGTATACATGGTTTCAAATACAACTAAATTTGATTCAATATCATATCAAATATCATATATGCATTTGATTACGACGTCGAGTCCAAACATACTCAACCCATTGAAATTCCTATGTAGTACATAAGACGTTAAACTTGAGTTCTTATTCAAATTTGATTGTATTCGGATCTATCTACAAAACAACTCTATATAATAACGCTTATACTTAATATAGAAAAACTTATTAAACTAAAACTATTTTAAAAAACATATATCTTTTTTATAAAAATATTTTATTTAATATTTTAAATAATAAATTAAAATAAAAACTAATTAATATATCAATTATTTAATTATTCATTATTAAAATTAATAAAACAGAATTTGATTCAATTTTCAAAACTGGCATCAACTGTTTTATGCCATAGATATTTTTAAACATTTAAAAAATTAATATAAAAATTGTTTTAATTATATTTGTAAATATAAATTATTATCTGATATAATTGTGTCATAGATATTTTCAAATATTTTAAATTTTAAAATAAAATTTATGAATTTAATAGTATTTTAAATAGTAAGTAAAAATAATAGTATAACATTATTATTATTATTATTATTATTATTATTATTATATGTCATAGTTGATAAAATTTATTTTTTTACTATGATTTGCGTAAAAAGATATTGATTTGGATTTAAATTTCAATGAAAAAAAAGAAAATTATGAAATAAATCTCAATATGGTTTAATCAATATAACTTTTTTAAGGATTCTAATGCAATCAAATTTGTATCAAAATTTTAATTGTTAACACTATTATGACATATATTTTTTTATTATAATTTATTAAACATATTTAATTTTTTGCTTAAAATTATAAATTAATTTTTAGAAATATTTTATATCTCATTCTTATTATTTTATATTTCATTAATTAAAATTATTAAAATAAATCAAATTATTTAAAATAAAATACTAAATAAAAAATTATTATTATATTTCTATAAAATAATTCTAATATATTGTAGTGTAATATTTATCAAAACAAAATATTATAGGTACTTGAACAAACATTTTTGAAAAATGAAACTAAAAAG